GCTTGATAAATTGTCGCTCATATGATAAACGTAATTATCTCCCTTGCATCAGTCATACAATATAATTCTAAGATTAAAAACATTTCCAATTTTATTCGTGATTTGAATCTTTATTTTCCGTTGTGTTATATTGGATTTATTAGAAGCAAAACGATAAATAATAAAAAAAAAATCAAAGTGTTATGGAAATAAATTTTATGTGCATTTACGTGTGAGTGCAAATGAATTCGTTATTAGAAATAGGGCTGATAATAAAATGCTTTAAAAGTCAGTTCTTGTATTTAAAACAACAGAATTATTTGAGTAAATTTTATCGCTAAATATCTTGTAAAAGATCTTATCTGAAAACAAATATATGCACAAGGGAGTTAAGCGTTTGTAGAATACGTTATCAGATATAATTATCGATGGTATATATATATATATATATATATATATATATATATATATATATATATATATATATATATATATATATATATATATATATATATATATATATATATATATATATATATATATATATATATATATATATATATATATATATATATATATATACAGGGTTCCAGAAAGTTCGTGTGAACTTTAAAAAATTTATAACTTTATTTGTATTTGCGATATAGAAATAATCTGTAAAAAATGTTATAAAGTACCTAATTTTAATATAATGTACCTAGTTTTAAGTATAGCTAAAATAACTAATGTGATTTCAGGCATTACTGTAAATCATTTGGCAAATGTTTTCTGAGAACTGCAAAATCGTATTACCCTTTGTATTGCTAATGATAGAGAACATGCGGAAACTTAAATAAAATTTCAATAAAACCTTAAAAAAATATAAATTTACTTCTTTCTAATCCTTTTTACAAATTATGTTTATCGCAAATACAAATAAAGTTATAATTTTTTAAAACACACTGTATATATATATATATATATATATATATATATATATATATATATATATATATATACCATTTAGAAAACTTTTATTTATTGTTTCGCTGATCAAATAGAGGCATCAGAAAAATGGATTTTATTTCAAACAAATCGACGAGAAAGAACGTGATTCGCGTTAGTCATATAAATACTGTTTATTAATTTTTTTTAAACCAAATCTACATTGGTGAAGCAGAACATTATTCATGTCTGTCACATGAAGAGTGCATTTTTTTTTCTAAAGTTAACAGCATCGTTTATTTTATTAATTATATTTTTACCCGTTTTAACTCAGGTTTACACACACACACACACACACACACACACACACACACACACACACATACATACATATATATATGTTCATTTTTTTTTAATTTTCTGTTTCCATTATTGTTTCAAAACGCGTTTAGAACGGGTGATACTCTGAGAAAGCCCCGTCGTAATTCATGTTATAGCTTATAACTAGTGCCAGGGGCCATGAAGAAAACTTCATTTTTATGATAGGTCTGCTTATTGTCAGGATTCACACTCCTCCCAGTGTTTTAAACAGGAGTAGAGATTTATCTCTTTTTTTTTTCCTGTTTAGGATTGTGTTTACGGTTCCTTTTAAAATCTATTCTAGCTCTATATTCTTATCGCTTTTCCTTTCATACACTAATATAATCCCACATAGTAAACCACAACGTTGAGTGGCCTTTAGGCCTTGTATTGTGTGTGTATCTCGGCAACAGATGTTCATATAAGTGATTTATTTAAGATAACATACAAGGTATATATCTATTATATTATTAATCACTATTTCATATTGACAGTCTAATTCCAGTATCTTCGTGTTAAAAGTTCCTGATAACATTCACGATTTCAGCTGAGTTGAGCCATTATACCTTTAACATCAATTGGAAAAACCCAAAAGACAAGTTTCGCTGATGAAATAGTGACGCCAGAAAAATGAATGAATGTTATTCGCGTTAGTCATATGAATCAGTCAGTTATGTGCCATGCGTGATACACGCTTAAGCGATTATGTATCTTTCGATACATGACTGACCAGGCAGTAGGTGGTCATTTCTTTCTGCGGTAGACCAGTTGCCATCCAAGGCTATAGAACCGCGTCTGTTCTGCTATTTACCCATAGCAGGGGGAAGAAGAGGATTCATACCTTTTCCAAGCACGTAAATGAATGTAATTCGAACTCGGCTCTCCGATTCCCCAACCAGAGCAGCTGTCCATTACTCTACCGTTATAAAAAAAAAAAAATTACTAATTTCAACCCATTTTCTTTTCCATTACTTTTAAGATTTTTCTTATTCCATAAAATTTCAAAATCCGTTTTAATAAGAACGCTTGATAAACTGAAGAAGCCTGGTTGTATATTAACCGAAGATTTGTATATCATGGTCTTTATCAATACATTTTTGTCTGAGTAAATTATATTAATTTATTTTAATAAAACGGTATTTTCCATGTCAAAAGATCACGAAGATTTCGATGGCATACCTTCAAAGAAATGATGATCTCTGAATTCCCCGAATATAATTAATATAACACACATGCTCACTAAACTGGCATAGAAACAGGATATGAAAAGTATTAAAACAAATAAAAATTGAATTAAAAATATTAAAATTTATTTTAAAAATGATAGTTACAGTAAAAGAAAATCAGTATTGAGTAACATGAGTGTCAGGCTGCCTCGCCAGGTGTAATTTTTGTTAAAACAAGCCATCATACCCAGGTGGTCGATCAGAAAAAGCGTTCAATTAGAATGGAGCAAAAATAGCATCATGTTTAGCTGTAACAGCATCTATCATCTTCAGTTACTTTAAAGTACTTTCATTAAAAACATTTTGAATTAATGCACTTACTGATATAACAGAAGTAGTCTGTATTTATTCAATCGAAGTTAGCCGAGGACATGAAGGGGTAAAACAGGCCACATGAAGACCCACTTCATACCACTGTTATTTTGGAGTTTTTGAAATTCAATTTGTCAGTGTCCTACCAGGGATGTAAAAGAGGATACATTTATAAAGCAATTGTTAAGTTTGATGAAAATTGGTTGAAAGATCAACGAAAAATAAGAAAGAAACCCGTAAACCGCTATTTATGCGGGTTTTCACTATATGGGTGGATTCACTTTTGGTTAGAGTTGAATGAAGTTTGTATTTAATTGCTTGAAAACTGAGGGACTTTTTAGTTTAGAATTTGTGTTGAAATCGATTTTTTGTTTTTGGCAGGTTTTCGCTAAACGCAGTGGCTTAGAAATAAAAATGAGGTATCATCGAGCTCGTCATGATGTAAGTAACCTATATACCGAGTTTGAACAAAATCGGAAGAAAATGTTGGGGTTTTTTGATCGGCTTTATTGATTATTGATTTCTTTTAAATTATCGATTTTTTACACTAAGAACCTATCTCATTGTACAATGACAAGCTTGGTCAAAATTGGTTGGATGGATCTCGAGGGAAAAGGTATCACACAGACAGACACACAGACAGACACACAGACATCCTCTATTTTATATATAGAAATAAAATCCGCTTCTTTTTCTGATACTACTGTTTGATCAACGGAACATGTCAAAGTTAAAGTTTCCTAATGGTCTATATTTACCATTACGTTTCATTCTCATCCACATTTAAACCATAAACATCAAGGCAAATACTACTTCTCATTTACTAAATATCAGTAATGAAATTTTTTTTCAGTCCTTTAAATAGAAACGTCATATAAAACGATAGACTTTCTTTGAGTACATTTCGAAATTCAAACTAAACACCCGGTGTTTATTGACAAAAAAGGTCTTTCTTTATTTTATTATGTTTCATAAATGTTACCTTGCCCCAAAGTTGGTACACTCGCAAATGCTTCAAATATTTGATATCCGAAAAATAAATCAATCTTTCACGAAAATGGGTTGATTCGAACTCAGTATTGAACAACGTCATCAAGAGAAATTCTCTTTCGTTTATTCTGTTTGTGATTCATGATTTCCAGAGCGAGAAGAATACAAGCAACAAGTGTAAAAACAGCAAAGACGATATAAACGCCTCCAAGCGAATTCATATCAAGCGTCTTTGGGATGTGATCATCAGATTCCAAACAAGAAACGTTTTGTTTCCACCAGCCTCGGCGCCATTTGTCTATCAGGCCAGATTCTCTCATAATGCCGAGCCTGAAAAATGTGGAGTAAGAGACAATAGTTATTAGTAAATTCCATTGAAACTTGTGAACAAAAGCTAAATTTGCCAGAAAGAAAAGATAATCGAGTCAAAATATCTATCTATCTATGTGTGGCGGCCTTTTACCACATTTATTTAATTTTGTTTAGGAACCCAAGCTGATGTAAAAAAAAAAAGGGGGGGGACAAGGCAAAGGTATCAATATATATATAAAAATTGTATTCAACAATGCATACAATAAAGAAGGTATACGAAAAAAGCATGCAATAAGTAAGACAAGAGTTGTCTCTCTTTGACTATCAAAGTTCTCTGAAAAGGAAATAAAAGCTATTAATCTGTTATAAATGTTTTTTAAACTGTTCTACCGTGCAAGAGGAAAATATGTAAGTGTGATAGAATATGCAGTTTGAAAGTTGAGTGAGAAGATAGGCGCATAGCTTCAACAGACGTGGTTTTCTGTGGCAGCTGAAGTCTCACTGATGCGGCTCCTCTTTTCTTATGCTTATATAGGTGGTCATTGAATCAGGAATGCTGCGCGGGAGAATCATTCTCCACGTGCAGAGAATCTGATTGGTCGATACTGACCAATCAGTGCATGAGTTCCGGGGAGACTTCTGCGAGCCGACTCTCTCAAAATATGAAAATTATCGCTTCAGATAGCACCGTTGGTCCCTGCCCAATGAATGAATGGTGTTGAAGATTTGAATTTATAAGGGTGTGTGTGTGTGTGGTGATGATCGCCATATAGCTATCTATGACATTCTAATCATATCTGTCTTTCTATCTATCTATTAATATATATCCATCACATTCTATTTATATCATATCTATCATCTCTGTTTCTTTTAGTCTCTTTCTATCTATCTATCTATCTATATAGATAGATAGATAGATAGATAGATAGATAGATAGATAGATATGAATAAACTCATGGATAGATATGAACTGACTGAGATAGATAGATAGATAGATAGATAGATAGATAGATAGATAGATAGATAGATATTAATAGAAAGTGATAGCTTCAAATCGTTTGAAGGTGTTTTGGTGTTTATTCGCCTGAAAAATAAAATTATATATAAAAATAAAAATGTGGTAAAAATAATTACTTTAAAAAATCATAACTAATTTCAATTTTTTAAAAATCTTCCAACTTCTAGCTAAATATTATCTCCAAAGCACTAAAACTTTCCCTCTCCAAAGAGAAATCCTTTTTCAACGATTACTTTCAACTTTGCAACTTGTTTAATCATCAGCATTGGCAACATTGATACTAACCTCAGTTGAATTTTGAATTTAGTTCGATTCTCGTCTCTTCTTGCCTTTTAATTAGATCCGGAAATGTGACTATATTGAGATAAGAAATTATACAGACTTGCTTTATGCTTCGATGCCATCTTCAGACCTGTTTCTTTTTTCGCGGAATATTTAAAAGTAATCGTGAATGACCAGAAGTTTATTGAAAATAAAATGTTTCGAGATATTTTCAATTGAAAATTGTCCTATATGAGCTGATTCAAAAAAAATTCTATAGATCATGATTTTTTTGTCTATTGCTGGAATTTAATTTTATCAAGTTTGAAAGATTTAAATCTCTCACATTTTCTTAAAATCAGCATCATAGCTGTGCTAGCATGAAGTCACAAGTCATCGTGACCGAGGGCTTCAGCGTGCTGGCCGATTTCAAATTGTTGATCACGCTAGATAACACGCTCTTTCCCAGAAACTGCTCAGTATAGTTTCAGTATTAGCCACAGGTGGGCTCTCTGGGTATTGAATAGACACAAATGCGTCTGAGCAAGCGTCTGCAATAGGGATTAGCAAATCACCCTAGTAGACGGGTATCCTCGAATACTAGTGACCAGCTATACTTTGAGATCAAAGTTATAAATGTAACCTTCGTATAAAAGACTACGGAATTTAATACGGTTGTGTGTTTGTGTTTATTTTATGTGGGTGTGTTAATATGTAAATAATTAAAGGAATATACTAAAACAGATCGTTTATTCTCTTTTTACATTGTGACTATATTGTAGCAAAGTTCGTAATATCTCTTGGGTGTGTACGCTCTCTTTTCATTGCTTTTTTGGCCAGAAGTAAGTTAGGGTAAGTAAAGATAACGATGGTTAAAATGGTCAGAGCTCAAGTTAGAACGACTAAATGACTTACTTCATAAGTAGAGCTGCAAGGCACGTCCGAACGATGTCGTTGGAAAGTCGAAAGAGAAAGAGTCTGTTCTTTCCGGAAGTAGGGTCATAAAATTGCATCATGGGAAAATTAATTTCTCTTTTTTTTTTCTTTTATTCTTATTATTATTTCATTTATTGGTTTTATTTCATTTTCCCACAAAACGTCTGGTTGGCTTACCATAAACTAATAGTCACATTTCCTGCAGGACTGTATGAAAAATATAAACGCATAAGAAATGACTGAATAATACATTTTGACTTACATTTTGGACACTTCCGTGTTGAGGGCAGATCCTTTCTGCAAAGCAAATGCAATTCGCTTTATGCCATAAGGTTTGCCGGTGACCATCACATCTTCACAATGTTTGGCAGCAAACGCTTTTATATCTGACCACAGGCTGATCATGACATATCTTCCCGATTTTACCAATTCCAAGGAATCTGCAGTTTTTCTTATAAATGGTGCATTTTCCAAACGTTTAAAAATCTTTTGTTTAATTGGGTCATCAGAAACCTGACGAAAAGAGTCAAAAAAGACATTTTCTATATATATTTACATATATATAACTTGGACAAGCGGAGACATTTTTAAGCATTTCACCTCAAGCAAAGCGGGAGTGTCACTAGCACGCAAGGGGTTACAGAGAGTGAGAGCAAGAGTAAAGAGGGGTATTTGAGGAAAGGATATAGAGGAGGATGGGGATCAGGATCAAGGCATCAGATGTCGAGTGACATTATATTTGAATATTTGAAGATTATAGCTATCAGGGAAGCAAGTAAGAGGAAAGGAGTTCCACTGTCGGGAAGCGTGAGAGAAGAAGCTGTTGGAGTAGAAGAGTCGGTTACATTTAACTGTTTCGACAGTGGAAATGTGGGACCGAGATGCCAACCTAGTAGCACGCTTAAATTCATGCAGTTTGGGAACCAGAGCAGTTGCCATGAAAATATTTGTAGAAAATACAGGGGGAAGCCACATCAGTTTTGTGAGAAAGTGACCGTAGTCTAGATGCCAGGTCAGGACCCCTCACATTGCATATCCGTCTTTGGATTATTTCGAGAACCTCGAGATGAACAGCGAGAGCACCAGACCATATATGACAATAGTATTTAATGCAAGGACGAATGGTAGATTTGAAGGATGGACTTAGACAAAAGAAAAACCCTTCTGGCGCGACACAGAGAAACAACTTTACTTGCAGCAGATGAAGCTATTGATTCAATGTAGTTGTTCCACCTCAGGTCATCGGAAAACGTGAGACCAAGAGGAGGCAGAGAGGCACTCTCGTGGAGTTGAGCACCAGCCATGCTGATAGGAGGCAAGGAATAAAAGAGAGAAGTTTCGTTTTGGAGGTATTTTACAAGCAATTTTCAGCCAAAGTCAATCACAGATTGGAGGTCCTTTTGGAGACCAATGGCCAGGTTAACTTTGTCAGCAATGCTGGGTTTACTATTGACTTGGCTGGAATTATGTGTAAAAAGAAACAGAAAGCATATTTGTTTCTTAAACGCCCAACTTTTCCATCAACTTTTAATAAACTTTGGTAAGTTTAAAATGTTAAAACAGTCAGCCAGTTATGTGCCATGCGTGATAAACGCTTAGGCAATCGCGTATCTTTTGATACATGACAGACGAGACAGATTTTTTCCCGCAGTAGGTTGCCATTTCTTTCTGCGGTAGACCAGTTGCCATCCAAAGCTATAGAACCCGACTTGTCCTGCTATTTACCCTTAGCTGGGGGGAGAAGAAGAGGATTCATACCTTGTTAAACCTTGTTAATGTTAAAACATAAAACAAAATTGCCAATAAAATGAGGCAAAAATCAGTTTTATAGTAGACTTTATCTGCCATCCCAAAGAAAAAAAAAACGCGTGGAACATATTATAGGCTAAATTAGGTTATGTCAGGTGACTTCAAGGTGTAAAAAGATCCGCTGGGAATGTCAAAAAGTAAAATGAATTTTGTAATGATAGTGAAATATGCTCCTAAAATCGTCGACTACAATGAATTTTTTTTTTTAGTATTTCATTTCTGAGATAATGAATTTTCAATATTCTTGTATTATTTAGAACTATTGTTCTTATCTTTAGTGATATAGGTGTCATTATAGACACAATGTTTCGACCAAGTACCCTCTAGTCATCATCAGGTGTGCATTGATGTCTGATAATCTGTTGATTATCGCGATATTTTGTCTCTATGATACCAGTCATTGTTCGTTCCTGTTGAATTGGTGCTTCACTACCAGATCCAAATATTGAACTCATGACCACTAGATTATCAACAGCTATATACACTAAACCTTCGTACCGAAGGACATTAGTGTTTTTGGAGACTTTTCTATTCAGTGTCAGGTGTTTTTTTACATTTGGTTATAATGATAAATTGGTGCCGCTTTTTATAATTTATTATTTCATTTCTGCGATGAGTAATTGTTAATATCCTGAAATGTTTTATTTTTTTTTAATTGTCCAACAGTACAGTTACCATATTCATATGTGCTCCTAAAATCGTCGATTGGTTACCATGTGGATAAAGAAGACGCTACATGAAATGCTTTATTTTTAAAATCGCCCAAAAGTGTTGTTAATGTAATCATAAGTGCCCCTAATTTAACAGGTTGATCGATTTGTTTTTTTACGACTTATCAACCTTTTACATGTTATTTAAAGCCAGAAAATATTTTTAGGTTGTGAGAATTCTTTTTTAGATAAAAATGATTTATTAATACTAACAGATCCGTAGCTGGGAAGGGGGGGGAAGAAAAGGTGGAATGCTTTCAAAAAATCTTCTTACAAGTGGCTATTTTCTCACTTTTTAATAAGTTTGTAGACAAAACAAAATTATCGGTTTTAAAAATCTCCCAATATATATAGTCTTAAGGTGTGCTATACTTAGTGATTTTCCAAGCGTAGCTTAGATGTGGCACAAGGCCGAAAGCATGGGGCACCCAGTGAGGATCAAACTCACTACTCAGTCGTAATTGTTTGCTAACCATTACACCGCCTTGGGGCGGCCAGGGTATCCTATATTTATGGAATAAAGTGCTCAATATCAGAGACAGGGCAAATGTGTAAATATAAAAGTGAGCATAGAAGTCAACTTCTATGTTCACTTATATATATATATATATATATATATATATATATATATATATATATATATATGACATGTTATTTGAGTAAAATGAGCAAATTTAAAGTTAAATTAATCTTATTTGAAACAAATATTACTTATAGCGTAAAAAAATAGGATACAAGCATTTCTTATCGTCGGGTCCTTTTTTTCTCATGTCTTTATTGCCGTTATCGGGAAGTTACGAAATGTTGGCAGTATGGATGACCAGAATTGACATAAATTTACGAAATCTAAGTGGACGCATTTTTGGAGGTTTTAACTGCCTAGTAATCTTTACAAATTAACATATTGTCAGTAATTATCTAATGTGTTATTGACTTTTAGTTCCGTCTGAAGATGCTTTATGAAAAAATAATAATATTTAAAATAATATAAAATTTTAATTAAAAGAAAAACTTGTAGTTCCAACGAATGATTTATTTTAGGGAAATATTTCAACTAACAGTTGCTAGCCTTGGTCACTCCTTTAATCTGAGTAAAACAATACAAAGAAACTAGAAAGTCTTAAGGATTCAAATCAAGGGGAAAAACAGTAAGAGCATATGCTTTTTTTAGCGAAGTCTTATTCGTTCGGATGCTTGCCTCTGTTGGTTTTTTCATTGATTTGAATTCTTTAGCGTTTCTATTTTCTTTGCATTGTTTTACTCAAATTAAAAGAGTGACCAAGTTGAAACATTTCTCTAAAATAAATCATTCGTTGGAACTACAAGTTTTTTTTTTAATTATGCAACTACCAACGGAGACAAGCATCCTAACTTTAATATAAAATTTTCTTGGATTAATTTTAAACTTTAACAACTCGGTAAACCAACGTGAGACAATGGTTAGCAAGCTTATCTCGCTGGATCAATAACGACTGAGTTGGGTGTTCGATCCTCACGGAAGGATCTTTGTGTCACGTCTAAGTTTTACTTAGAAAATCGTTTGAGCAATTCAACATGGTATAATGGTATACAAGCTTACCTTCGATCCTCATTGGGTGCTCCACACGTTCGGCTTTGTGCCACAAACTACGCTTAGTAAATCGCTATATTAGTAAATCAATGCTGGAACTACTTTTTAAAGATAGTAATGGAAACAAATAGGACACCTATATTTAGTATCAGAAAAAGTTGAATTTGTAGGATACATAATAAGAAAAGAGGGCTTAGAAAATGTAACACTCACAACGCAGATGTAAAGAAAAGAGGAATGCGGCGAATGATCTATCTAACGAGCTAACAGAACAAGGAGGATTAGGAGGGGTGACAAAAAGACAAACATTGCTAAGAGATATAAAGGACAAAAAGCTTTTGAGAATAATGGTAAAAAAACAGTAATCTTTATTGGAAATGTAATATTTTATTTTGAAGCGTTCAGGATTTGGTTCTACCAACGAAAGCTAAGTAAAGCATGGACAGGACATATAAACAACGAGAAAGTCTTAAGGGTTTTCCTTCTAGACAAATTGCCTTCAACACGGCAAAGGTTGTTTTAATTTGTCAGAGAGTAGGAGAACAAGGGGGAGGGTCTTTCTCTTCCTCTCTTGTTGAACTCTCTGTCTCCGGGCGGAGAGGAACCCAGACGAGGCTATACCGAAAGGCAGAGTCTCGTTTTAGGAGGTAGACAAAACCGAGAAGCTCGGAACGCCTCACGTTAAAAAATGGCCTTGTGCCACATCTTGCCTTGTGGGGAGGTTGGTAAGTAGAGTAGAAACTGAAAAGAACTAGAAGAATATCAGATTACTTGGGCCTTCTATATAAAAATATATAATTTTACCAGCAAATACTAAAAATATAATGGCCAGGACATATTTTTCTATTATTTTTTTTTTTATTTTTATTTTTTTTTTACAGTACGATTCCTCTTATACAAGGCCCTGGGGGGGGGGCAACTCGAGGTAGAGTGTTACAGTAAGGGGCCGTTTATACAGATAGGAGAGGAAGATAACGTTTAACCGTAGATTTGAACAGGTTGAGAATATGGTGATCGAGGAAGCCTTATCTTATGAGTCGGTTCCACAGGGCAGTGGTTCGCGGGAAGAAGCTGCTCGAGTAGAACTTACTTATCACCGATGGAATACAGAGGGAATGTCGGTGATTTTCTACAATGTGACATGGTGGGTCCTAGCCGTGGGGGTTAGCACTTTCGATAGAGCAGTAATAGGCTTGCCACGTCCCGTCTCTGAGAGAGAGGTTGGAGGGTGAGGAGAGCACGTGGAGTCAGGTACTTACTGCAGCGGTACAGGTAAACGACCATTTTTCCTGGATCTTTAGCATCGGATCGTATGTAAGAGTTACACTTGATTATATGAATAGCATCCAAAGTAAGAAAAAACATGCACGTCTCTCAAGTACTATAGTAGATTGTAGGGATCGAGAAAGCATCTTCTTGGGTGTCGGTTCTACAGAGCACTGGTTCGCGAGAAAAAGCTGCTTGAACGGAACTTCACACCAATGCAATACAAAGAGAATGAGCGTGGTTCGCTATAATTTGCGTGTCATAGCCGTTGGGGTTAAAACAGGTGGAATTAAGGAATGTACTTCGACTGAGCACTTTGCATAGAAGCAGTGATAGACTAGCGAGAGGCTTGCAACATCTCTCGTCTGTGAGACATGGGTTACAGGGAGGAAAACAGTTTATCACCCATAACGAATCGAAAACGCTGTTAGACTCATTCAAGACTGGAAAGTGGGAACTGGGCTTGAGCTGGCTCTTGTAAAAGTAGAGGATAGTCAGGTACTTACTGCAGCGGTACAGGTAACAGACCATTTTTTCTTGCATCTTTAGCGACGTATCTTATGTACGAATTCCACTTGAGGTCAGGGGTGTGTTTAAGGCACGATAGTCATTCAAGTCATAGAGCCTTCCCTTAACCGGCTATTGAACTCAGACTCTTTGGGTCCTCTCACTGGAGAACTTGGAGAAGGGAATTAACGGGAGATAACTGATAACTGACATCCATTAGACATGGCATGTGGAACTAGAACAGTCTACCCCAGTGAGCGAAATAAAGGATTCAGTTCGACATTCCAACCACCTGAACAAGGCCGAAGCGTACAACGGCCGAAGCGTTGTAATAAATATGGCAACAAAGATGAGGACAATAGTCCGAATAATGTAAATAGTGTACATAATACCTCATTCAGAAATATAAATGGAATATAAATAGTTTGGCTTTCAAGACATTGAATGTAATCAATCAGTTTTTCCCTCTTATCTGTTAGAAATAGATCGAACAAGAAATCAACTGTCATCACGAGTTTTGGCGGTTTGGTTTGGTTTGGTTTGTGTTACGGCATATCAACACCTCAATGGGTTATTTAATGCCGAGTAGATTTTTATTGCTGTTCTGTGATGTCAACGAACACTCGTTGCCACTTTTGTAATGTCAACAAATACTCATTGTCACTTTCGTAAATGCTCGTTGTAGTAGAGACTTTGTAATCGCAGCTACAACTATAGTATGCCGTTGAACAATACTGGTGTCAGACGCCTACGAATAGCACTCGCGTTAATAGCACTTGCTCGATAATACTCGCTCGACAAGTAACTTGTATAGTGATCTGAATAGAGAAATAGTATAGTGAATAGAGTAGAGAACAGCGGTCCGAATAGTAACAGAAGAGAAATAGCGGCCCGTATAGTAGTAGAGGATGGAGTAGAAATAGCTATCCGTATATTATAGAGGATAGACTAGGAATAGCGATCGTTTAGCCGTCACGCTACCTTCCATGTATGCGGTTCTTTTATGGTCACGTGGTCTACTTAATTCAATAATGGGATCGCCTGTGTTTGCTCACCGGCGATCTATGTTCAAACTCAAATGTCGGCAGCGACACTTTATTCATACATAACATGCTGGTAATATTTTTTTCCCAAAAATGTACTGCTGGTAATACCTTTTTTCTCAAAAATGCATGACTGGTAATAGCCTTTTCCTCAAACAAGTATTGCTGGTAATATTTTTTCCAAAAATGTATTGCTGGTAATAATTTCCTTTATCATTTATGTATTGCTGGTAATAATTTTTCCAAAAAAGTATTGCTGGTATTAAAACCTATTTTTACAGTTTCATAGTGTTTTGACCACTTGGTGGGGGGTAACTATTTGCCTATGGCTAGGACACTGACAAGAGCTACCAGCCCCGAGTCAAGGTGAAAATGGAACACACGCAATTAAAAGGTGGTTCTACACGCCTCAAAACCTCCTGGCCAGAGGCCTTGCTGTCGAATGTAGATTATTGTCTTACCCAGGACGTGGATGTAGTTTATCGTCATACCCAGGACGGAAGTTTTGGCGGTGCACCCCTATATCGTCGTATTATCGGCATGCATATTCGCAAATATTTCTGAGTATATTCTTAGGCAGATCATTTATGTAAAGTGAATGTAATGGATTCGACTGGAATTCGAACTCGGCTCTCCGATTCCTCACGACGACGGCTTACAGCCACATCACGCTGAAACACCGGTTCTCGCACGATCATCAAAGTTAAGCAACGACGCGCCTGGTCAGTAACTAGATGGGTGACCTCTTGGGGATACCAGCTGCTGTAAGCTTGGATGTGCGGGCGGTGTAATGGATAACTGTTAATCGGAGAGCCAAGTTCTAGTTCAGTTTGGGTTTGTTATATTCATTTACTTGTAAATACAACTTTTCTCTCCTCCCCCGCCCCCGCTATGAGTTAATTAATAAGATTTGTATCACTAAATTATTATCTAAAAAATTCTTACAATTTAAAGATAATTCTTCCCACGCAGCGATTCGGGGCCGATGATCACCTATATAAGCAAAAAATATTCTTAGATAATTAGTGAGATTTCAGCTGCCACAGAAATCCATGACAGTTTAAACCATGCGCCAATCTTCTCACTAACACTACCACTGACATGCTGAATATTCCTTACACTCACATAATTTTTTCCTTACACAGCAAAACTGTTGAAAACATTTATTACTAGAAACTATCACAAACTTTCTTTCTTTCAGTGAACTTTAGAACACAAATAATAGTTAAAGAGAGACAACTCTTGTTTTACTCAATGCATGATTTTCTTTCACATCCTTCTTTGTACATCTTGTTAAATACAAATTTTATGTGTAATGATGGCTTTGGCTTATCCTCTTTTTCTTCAAGTCAGTTTGGTTTCCTAATCTAAGTTAAATTAATGTGATGAAGTCCGCCACAATCTCCCACTTTATTATCATTTCTTGTTTGTTTATCAAATTGGGATTAGGTATGAATCCACTTCTTCTCACCCAGCTATGGGTTAATAAGTAAAACTTGTATCACTGAAGCATTATTATCTCCAAAACAAAATTCTTATAATATTCTCTGGCTTTAAATAACCTGCAATGGGTTGATACGCCGTAGAAAATGTATCACTCTATCAACAGACGACACGAATAACAAGTAGTATATTCCGTGCTAAGGGTATAAACACAAACACCAGGTGGATACTAGAAGAGGGTTTATTGTACACAACAAGTACAATATGAAAATACGGTACAGTTATACACACAGGTCCATCTAGTAGAGAGTGACACTAATTGGAAGGTCGGGCGTGCTTACGTCGTCTCGCTCTCACTCGTAGACAGTAGACTTTATAGGTACTTACTACATATAGTGCAATCACTCATGGGGGCGACCAGTTATTCCATTACATCATCAAGATAATGTTTTAGAATAAAATTTGGAGCCCTAGTACGAGCTTGTAGTATCAGCTCTTGTTTTTCTCTTGGAACAACATCAATGACGTGGAGAGAGAAGATATATCACTGTTGAGCAAGTGTTAGTTTCTCATAAACTTCTATCCACCTGTGCGTGAGACAGAGAATCAAAAACGTCTTATATTTAAATGAATTCACGTCCTCATTACATTGCAAAAAGAGAAAAAAAACTTCTGGTGGATAATTTGGACAGAGCTCGGAGCGCATGTTAATTAATGTCAATTATTAAACAACCAATCACTAATCAATCATTTGCTGACTCACCTTAAGTTCGTCGTATATGGCCGAGCCGCTTAATGTGATAGGCAAAATATTCTCCGAATTTGCAAGGTCACTAAGACTTTCTATAACCGACCGTTTGTTGACAACCGTGAAGTTCGCAGTCAAATTGGCAGTGTAGTAAGTACTAATAAGAATTGTGAACAGCCACCAACACATAATGATCACTCGAGAACGGGAAGACGTCGGTTCGTGGGCGCCTCCTGTTGTAAAAAAATATACGGAATTAATCTGTTGTGAATTTCTGTATATATATTTTATAATTTTTAATAAAGACTATAAATAATTGGCTCTCGGTGTTCGACATGTTTTAATGCTGCTTTCAAAATATTCTCTGAAAAATTGGTCAAAAATATATAAATAAATGCAAAATATCCCAGCTTCCGACTTGGTTAGAGGGTACTGAAATATCCTCGAACCAACCCACTTTCTAAACAAAATGATTAAACGTAAGAATTTATTTTAGAAATCCCTTCTTAGTCATGGCCGTAGACTTTAATAAATATTCCACAATACACAGTGTATTATACAATATTTTTTTAAATATAGGATTTGATTGGTGGATTTTAAAACATATCGATATTTGATAGTTATTTGATATGTAAATTGTTTAAATTTTAATTTTACAAGGTAAATATTAGTCGGATTTATACTTGTGTTTATAGGTAATCAGTGGTTAGGTTTCTCCTTTAGTCTCCAGGTAAATATTGGATTTATATTTGAGTCTATAGTTAAATAGTCATTGGGTTTATACTTGATCCTTGTATTCCAAGTTGAATAAAGCTTTCTTAAAGTGTACACTTGCGTAATTTTGTCATTACACCTATATACTCAACAAGTATTTAGTTATAGACTCAAGTACAAACCCTCTATTTATAGGCTCAAGTATAAACCCAATGAATATTTAACTATAGACTCAAATATAAATCCAATATTTACTTATTACATATTTTGTTAATATAGGATTTGATAGGTGGATTTTAAGACATATAAATATTTGATACTTATTTAACGTGTACATTTATTTAATTTTGAATTTACAAGGTAAATATTAGTCGAAATCATACTTGTGTTTATAGGTAATCATTGGTTAGGTTTATCCTTTAGTATCTCGGTAAATATATTATAAAATGTTTATTTATATATATATATATATATATATATATATATATATATATATAACATTATATTTGCTCCGCTCTGTATTGAGCACTCTTTTAAGAATTGTATTTTTTGGTTATTGGAATTTATTCCGTATACACCAATCCTATACTTGTATATATATATATATATATATATATATATATATATATGTGTGTGTGTGTGTGTGTGTGTGTGTGTGTGTGTGTGTGTGTGTGTGTGTGTATAAATATAAAAGTGAACCTAGAAGTCCACACTTTGAGACGACAGTCTGTTTCATGTTAGACGCAATCGTCAGGCCTATCGCCTCTAAGTGTTGAATTCTATGTTCACTCCGATATTTCCACACGCTCTATCTCTGATATTGAGCACTTTATTCCATAAATATAGCACATCTTAAGACTATATTTTTCTTCATATATATATATATATATATATATATATATATATATTACGTATTTTAGAATAGTTAATAGCTCTTGATTTGCAAAACTTATATCATATTGCCGTATGTGCGCCAGATGCTAAATGCTGAATATATATATATATATGGACGAAGTCCGACAATTATTATAAGGCATTTTTATGTTTATACATTCTTTTTTATAGATACAAATATTTATGTAAATACTCTGTTTATAATAAACAGTATTAAACAACATTTACTGGCCTGAATGTCCGAGAAATTTTCACAGAAAATATTCGTCCTACGAACGCGCCTCTTTGGCCAAATCGGTAAAGGCACGTTAAGCTAAATGATGGGTCCGTATAGGATACAGGTTCGAATCCTGTCGGAGGACGAATATTTTCTATGAAAATTTCTCGGACATTCAGGCCGGTAAACGTTGTTTAATACTGTTTATTATAAACAGAGAATTTACTTAAATATCTGTATCTATAAAAGGAATGTATAAACATAAAAATGTCTTAAAGTAATTGTCGGACTTTTTATTCATTTCATAATATATATATATATATATATATATATATATATATATATATATATATATATATAAATATACCCAAGTATATGATTGGTATATACGGAATGAATTCCAATAACCAACAAATACTATTTTTAAAAGAGTGCTCAATACAAAGTAGAGCAGATATAATTATTTATTTAAAAAAATTTATAACATAAATATGTTATAAAATCACTACAAAAATAGCCATTTTGTTTCAACACTCTCAGTGTCTTATCAAGTGATGATGTTGAATGTAAAATAAATGGTTTTAAAAGTTTCGAATTAATTAACAATCCTTCACAAGGGGAAAACGTTGTTACAAAAGCTAGATGGACCAATCAAAATACAAGAATAGGAAAATTCAAAAAGCTTGACAACGAAGTCATTTTATAATAGCTATTCAAATATTTAAAATATGGGTAGTATTAAAAAAGAATTTATTCTAATCAATAATTACTATTTATTTATTTATTAAATAATATTATATATATATATATATATATATATATATATATATATATATATTTTTAATCATTTTTATCTCTGTATATTTGCTCGCTTATGTTATATTTCAGTAAGTGCTGAGCATTTATGTCATGATACTTTCAGTCTTAAATATTTATTGGTTGTTGTATCCGATTGTCTGGGTCAATGTATGTGGATGTGTGTGCATATATTTATTATTGTCTATGTGTAGGAAAGTGCATTCACTTTTAATAGTGTATGTATGTACGTGTGCGTTGGTTTCTTTCCCTTATCCCCACCCTTCCCCCCACCCTTCCCTTTTTTTTTTTTATACGATTGTGGTGATGTTCTCTGTCTCGTCTCTTTTTTTGTGTGTGTATATATATTTAAATATGTCTGGGTGCTTAGATATTATAATCTGATTGCGTTTGTTTTACGCGTGAGTTTAGGACCGCATTCACACACTCTTAGGATTAAAATGGATACATTGTCAAACGACCGGATATAAAATTAGCTAAAGTAACTTCAATGAAGAAATAAATTGAATAACATATATATTTCTTCTTTTCTCCTCAGGAATTTTATAGTTGTAAACTTAATAGCGATTAAATTTTGATCTTGAAATTAGCAGTTTTTAATTTTAATATTAAATTTTTATATAATTTAGTAATTATTGGTTAGAATAAATTCTTTTTAATACTACCCATATTTTAAATATTTGAATAGCTATTATAACACGACTTCGTTGTCAAGCTTTTTTTGAATTTTCCTATACTTGTATTTTGATTGGTCCATCTAGCTTTTGTAACAACGTTTTCCCCTTGTGAAGGATTGTTAATTAATTCGAAACTTTTAAAACCATTTATTTTACATTCTACATCATCACTTGATAAGACACTGAGGGTGTTGAAACAAAATGGCTATTTTGTAGTGATTTTTTATAACATATTTATGTTATAAATTTTTTAAATAAATAATTATATATATATATATATATAAATATATATATTATATGTAAATCATATTGCTGTGTGTGCACCAAATGGTAAATGCTGAAAAGCAATCTCGAAGGTATGATTATCGACCGTTATTCATATTTGTGACCCCCCCCTCTTGATGGAACGATGTTAATCAAATACCAGTTGGCTTCTCTGTTTTAGTATCATAACAAATAGTAACTTTAGAAATCTAAATATAAGAGAAAACCATTGAGATACTTACAGTTAGTGTAATGTTTGGTCGCTTATACCTGTCTATGAGATTGCAATGGCTTTGTAAGACATTTGTGTTCGTTCAACACTCTTAGAACCCGCCTGTGGTTTATACTACGTGGAGCGGATGTTAGTTTCACTTATTGAGAGAGACCGTATTATTTGGTGTAATCAACAGTCTGAACAAGGCCAGTACGCTTAAACTCTCGGTCACGATGACTTCTGACTTCATGCTAACACAACCAAATAGTTTTGTCTACTCAGTTTCACTCACAAGCTTGGGTAAACTTGTCCAATTGTTTGCAAGCATTTTAGAATGTGCCGCATGAAGTAAAGAAATAACCTTTCCGAAAAATCGATTTGTTCAGAAACGAACGTTGTAATCATTCATAAAGATAATTATAGATACTTAAACCTTATCTGTCTATATTTCTGAGATGAGGTATTGTAATCATTTATATTGTTCGGGATGCTGTCCTCATCTTTATTGTCATATTCACAACGTTTCGGCCGTTATATGCTCCGGCCTTCTTCATACACTGCTGTCCTCAAGGACACATGGCCCAGTGGATAAAAGCGTTGATTGGATCCAGTCACTTGGTCTAAAGAGTTCAATACCTGACTACTGCAGCGATGAACAAAAACTTGGAGAGTTGAATTAGAGGGAGATAAACAAACTATCCGGAAGAGGCATGGCACGTGGAACCATCTACCTTGGTGGAGGAAATAAAGGGTTCGGTTCAAAATTCCAATCACCTGAAGAAGGGTGTACAACAGCCGAAACGTCGTGAATATGACAATAAAGTCGAGAACAACAGACCGAAGAATGTAAATAATGTAAATACTTAAACCTTTGTTTTAAAAAAAAAACCTTTGCATCATTTGTCGATACAAAGTTTGGCCGGAAGTCGTCTCCAACGACCAACTGTGGAACAGGACCAGACAAGCCCCAATTGAGATTGACATCAAGAAATGGAAATGGGGATGGATAGGCCACACACTCCGCAAGCCTGCTTCTAGTGTCACCAGGCAGGCCCTTGACTGGAATCCACAAGAGAAGCGAAAAGTGGGTCGACCAAAATAGATTTGGCTCAAAAGTGTCGACACAGAGGTGAAGGCAGCCGACATGTCATGGGCTGAGCTGAAGAGGCTCTCCCAGAACTGCGACCGTTGGAGAGATGTTGTCGCGGCCCTATGTTCCCCAAAGAAGCAAGAGGCATAATAATAATAATAATAATAATTGTTTGTCGACTTGATTACCTTGGAAAAGATGCATTGTATAAACGGACCATAATGTCTCTTTCCAGCTGAGGTTGGAGAAAAGGCAGAGATTTTTCGCAGTCCTGTTGTCTGGCATTCCACGGATAGTGTTGTGCGAATCAGAGATTCTCTTGAAGCCATCAATAACGGTCAAAATTAATGAGACTACGACGATAACAACAGCAAAGGAGAGCCAGGTAGTCGCTTTGAATGCACGAAACACTTTAAAAAGATCAAACATCGAAGAATCCGTTGCCTTTTTTATCAACATACCACGACCTTCTTCGGTATATGGATAAGTATAGTCGACCACTTGGGATCGGCTGTATGATACTGTTAAAGCGGCCACAACAAAATCAACTTCCTACAAAATAAAACTAGAACAAATCAAATTCATATACAATGAAAACATCGGAAACATCTATCTATATCTCTGAAATGAGGTATTATGATTACTTGCATTATATACATTATTCGAATTGTTATCCTCGTCTTCATTGCCATATTCACAACGTTTCGGCCGTTCTACGCTCCGATTTTCTTCAGGTGATTGGAATTTCGAATTGAACTCTTTTATTTCGTCGACCGGGGTAGATTGTTCTAGTTCCACGTGTCATGCCTCAGTTATTTTCCTTTAACTCAACTCTTCAAGATTTGGTCCATGACTGCTGTGGCCTGGTATTGATCTCGCAACTCTTTGGATCTAATCACGTCTTTATCTACTAGGCCATGAAGAAGGCCGGAGCGTACAACTGCCGAAACATTGTGAATATGGCAATGAAGATGAAGATAACAGTCCGAATAATGTACGTAATGCAAGTAATGAAAATATTTACTGTCTAGTGTAAACTGTAACTCTTTTTTATGTTAGATCATTAAAAACCTGTCATTCAATTTCTTTAAACATCATTAAAATAAATGTGTCCGTTGTCTTTTCAAAATCTAAACTAAGTAATAAGAAATTTCATTAGAATCAAAAGAAACAGTGCTGAATTATTATATATTATAAATCCTTATGGCGGTATATACTGGAAGATCTCCTCGGACACGTAGAAGAAAATTGGGGTCACAGAGATGTAATTCTACAAAAAAGATGTTGAGAATAAAGTGGACGGAACATCTGAACAACAAGGAAGTTTTAAAGAAAATAGAAACAAACAAGAGAAAGAGGCAGTTGGAATTTCGGCGACAGTGAGGAAAAATGCTTGGAGAACTTGATACTCACAGGACAATCTGAAAGCAGGAGTCACGGAAGGAAATGTTGACTAACCTACCTGGTAAATGGATAACAGAGTCTGGGAGAGAAATTAAAGGTACAAATATTGCTTACAGCTATAAAGGATAAGAGTTAGTGGAGACCATTATCGTCCACGTCCTGCAAATCGTTTTTGAAGAAAACGACTTCGGTGATAAAATTATTGATAAACAATTGACATCCTAAGGAATTCATGTCCTCATTGACTTTATGAAGATTTTGCAGAGTTCTAAATCAAAATACGCCAATTTGACAAAGAATTTTAAATTCAAACATTTTAAAGTCCTTATTAGTCAAATGATATTTAATTTCGAATTTGCTGACTAGATTTACCCGTTTTTCCAGTTGACCAACAAGTCCTGTGAATGAGTCATTCTTTAGCATTCCAAATTGTTCGTCTGCTGGTTCTTGCCATTCATAACTGAAAAGGAATAAAGAACAAAGATTAAAACATATTAGTAACTAGCTTTAATTAATTTAAATTAATTAAGTAATTATTTGTCTGATGATCGTAAAAGCGGGAAATGTATATATATATATATATATATGTGTGTGTGTGTGTGTGTGTGTGTGTGTGTGTGAATATCCAAATGAAAGAAAGAACAGGTGAAGTTAGAATCATCCGTAATTCGTAGCATTTATTTTTTTTAAAAATGCTCAATACAAAGTAGAGCAAACTGCTATTTAATATGTTTTATTATAATAAACTACAACAAAAACATTTACATCGTTACACAAAACTATCATATTTCAGTACTAAGATAGTACTTCTTCAGGCGATGGTAGATAACTTGTATCATAAGTTATCTACCATCCCCTGAAGAAGTACCATCTCAGTAATGATACATGAAAGTTTTGTGTTGCGATGTAAAATGTTTTATTGCAATTTATTATAATAAAAATATTATAATATATATATCATAAAATATTATCGTAATTATATATATATATATATATATATATATATATATATATGAAAAAATATAGCCTTAAGATGTGGTATATTTATGGGATAAAGTGCTCAATATCTGCGACAGACCGCGTGGAAATATATAAGTGAACATAGAAGTCATCACTTAAAGGCGATAGTCTGTTTCGTGGCCTGACGATTGCATCTAGTTTATATATATATATATATATATATATATATATATATATATATATATATATAAATATATATATATATATATATATATATATATATATATATAAGGCATAATTTATAAATATATATATATATTTATAAATTATGCGTTATATATATATATATATATATATATATATATATATATATATATATATATATATATATATATTATGCCTTAAATATGCAAAACGCATTCATTTTTTTTTCGACCAACACTTTTTCAGAAGAATACGTTGCTTCCTTCTTATATAAACAAAATGAAACAAATTCACATCATGAAACCCAAGTATATACAGGAAAATTAAATAAGGAACGAAGACTAAAATTGAAATTTATAACTAAAACGAGAAAAAATAAAGGAATAGGGCAATAAATCAAAGTATATAGCTTCCTAGTGAGTATCAAATACAAACAAAATGAAAAAATTATATATATATATACTGGCTTAAAAGATGCCCTATCGAGCGGCATTTAAGCTAGCTCCTGCGATGGGTTCTTAATTGGGCCTTCATCCCAATAGATAAAGAAGAGTAGATGACATAGGCAGCAATAAACTACAGAAGAACTCAAAATTGATTGCTGCATTTAAATATTGCATTATTATTTAAACTTACCTTTTAAAAGTTCAACGATAATTCTTCTGCTGCCACTTAATTTAAAGACAATTTTATGTAGTTGGTCCTTACCTTCCGTACAAACAATTATTTTTATTTCGTGGGTCACTTTCTCTGGATTTCGCAATTAATTTCGATTATTCCCAAATTTATTTCCAAGTTACAAAAATTGTTATCGTACAAAAAAATTCGTCGCAAAAACGCCGAAAACAATCGCAGTAATGAAAACTTGAGAATCCATAATTTCTGTAACATAAGCTATTGAAAGTTTATCCCTTTAATTGAAAAAGTGTGTTACAGTGACACACTGACGATATTGAGTCACCCTCCCACGAGGGTGTCATGTGGCACAAGGCCTTTTTAACGTGGGCATTCCCGAGCCATTAGGCTCGGCCAAAAAATAGCCCATTTGAACCCGTATAAACGGGTTCTGGGCCGGTTTTACCTCCCCGAAAGAGACTTCTCCCTTCGGCGCAGCCTCCTTCGGGTTCCTCCCGCCCGTAGGAAGAGAGTTTAACCGAACAGTCGGTTCAGAGGTGAACGACTGACACACTGACATTCGCATTTATTACATAGATTGCCTGTCTCGCACGGAGAAATAGCCTAGTGGATTCAAGCATTGTTTTGTGAATTCGCTGCCATTGTAATTGTGAGTTCAATTACTGGGCCGTGTGTTATAGGCTTAGACCCAGTGGAAAATGAGCTGTACTAAGAACAAGATAAAGTGTTCTATTACCACAGTACAAAGCATCTATTGTTTTATTTTCCCGTTGTTCATCTCCTTTTAAATTTAGGTACATTTTTTATTAGTAACCGTTTTTTACCACTTCTTGTTTAGTTCTTAGTAATCACCGAAACCGGCAGAGTAAAACAGGCTCAAGTACGCGGTTCATATTTTCTTATCCTGCTAAATGTCTCTCCTACGATAGCATCGCCGGTATGTACCTTTTAAAACCTTTTCTCTTTTCATTAGTTTCTTTTAATATGATATCATTTTTTTAACATTTCTTTAAGGTAGACACCTTCGTATACATTTATTTTACTGTTGTATCTCTCCATGTAGAACACATTTCATATATGTAGTCTACACTGTTCTCAAACTATAACTTCATGTAACTTTCTTCTTTTCTGAGAATTGATCACTGCATGCTTTATACATTTTCAAGCAACTATTTGCTATCCTCATTTACAAGTTTACACTCAGGTTCCTCCTTTGTCATATTCCTTTTTCCTTTCCTTTGTTATTCAAACTAAACTAGTCTCAGGTTTGTATTTATTTCTTTTTCTAGTTACACCCGTTGGCTTTCAGTAAACCTGCTAATGAACAAGAATTTGTCTTTAGAGTTTTTACTGTCGTAAGGCGTTTATCTGGCTGTTTGAGATACGCACGTGTGCGTGACGGACGCGTACCGGGAGGCGGAACAACGAAATATCCTTAGATATTAATAGCGAAAGGAAAAAACCGATCATTGATATAAAAGTTTTCGTTCGAAATCTCCAGATCGATTAACACGTGAAGAAGGAGAACATTACCTTATGAATCGTTATTTCTGTTGAACCCACTAAGATATTCACCTGCTTTGCTGCTATTTTCTTTCACTCATAGAGATAACGGAAGGCCTATGGTGAAGTTATGAATAGCAACTCGGATTGAGAAATCGGAAAGCCGAGCAGGAATTCCTTACGTTCACTTACGTGCAAAATACCCTTAGGAAAGGCATAAATCCATCTATCCTCAGCTATAAATAAATAACAGGACATATTGGGTCCTATAGCCTTGGGTGGCAACCGGTCTAGGAGAAGGACAACTATGAATTCAAAAACCTCCAATTATAGGTTAAATAACCACAATTGGCCAAGCGTGGTGAGTACGTCTACATCCCTGAAGACATGGTCAGTCAGGAAGGGGATCTTCTAAGGAATTAGAAGGCCTTGGGTTTAGAGCTGTTCTCGTGACCTTTCATTCTTGATGACTCACTCACTGGTATTCATTTAAAAAGTCATTCAGTGATTCATTCATACTCTCATTCTTTCATTCAATCATGCATGCATTCATCGATATATTCAGTCCTACGGGCATTCATTCATATTTATATATTCATGTCGAATATGACTATCGCCATGTCTCAGCTCAGTGCATGAACCTCGTGAAGTGGAGCAAAAAACGTTTCACTGAATAAATCCCTCCCTCCCTCCGCGTAAGAACAGCATGTGCCCCAAAAGAGGAACCAGTCGAAGCCGTTGGATGCTGCCAAACCGCAAAATGTTTTTTTCTAGACGGATACCTTAACGAAGACTAAGGACCTCAACATCCCCAGTAAGTTTAACGCGCATCTGGACATTAACCTAAGTATGTGTACACCGCTGTGCCTGTGCCAGAAAGATCCATCTGTCTTTTGACAGGTATTATTTTTAATCCTGATGGGTGTCTAGTCTCACCCTACTCACCAGAAAAACCTGATGATGGCAACCAGATGAGCCTTTGATAACCATGCGGTAAAGCGTACTGGGTTTCATAGTGTCAGTAGCACTCACAGGGTGAACTGACATAAAATGTACGCATGATGGCTGGTAAACTCATTACACTAGTATGATCATCTCTACCGAGATTGATCTGTTCCCAGAACTATTTACGGTTTTGATTTCAGGGTCGTCATCCTCCTAAACTGGTTACCAACCTAAGCTTAAAAGCCAAGTCTTCCCTACTATTCAACCCAAAGCTTGGTGGGGGTAGAAAATGTATTCATACCTACTCCAAGGGTATTTGTTCGAAAGTGGATATAACCGAATTTGAACCTTGCTCTCCGATTTCTCGTTCTGAGCCATTATCCATTATACGAGACAAGAAGATGCGAGATGTTCGAATTAGCACAGAAAAATGTGCTGCGATTGGAGCTTTCCTTTTTCTCTATGGCGCGAACCTGGACATCAACCCACGTATTTCTACACCCACGCATGATATATTCATACGTACATTTAGTCATAAATAAAGTATATTTAGGCAGCAACTATTCATCCAAAGAAGTTTGATTAAAAAGAATCAATTTTTTCTGTAATCCGGCATTGATCTGGTCCCAATGGTGCCGAATTATCGAGGTAAGACTAACTCACTCTCTCTCTCTCACCTCTCTCTTACTCTTTCTGTCTCTGGCTCTCTCATTCACGCTCTCTCTCTCTCTGTTTCTACCTCTGTCTCCCACTCTCTCTCTCACACACACACACACACACACACACACACACACACACACACATATATATATATATATATATATATATATATATATACACAAACAGTTTGATTATAATTAACCGACGTCTGTCTGTGTAATTTTCGGGTAAGGTGCTTATTATTGTGTTCGAAATTGTGGATAAACTGCCCAAAGTTCACATTTTGTGATTTTTGTTCAAGTACTTTTTCACAGTCATTATCAAGAACCGATGCAACAGAATTTCTTTTCTCTCTCTCTCTCTCAGTCTCTTTCTCATTCTCTCTCTCTCTTTCTCTCTCTCTCATATATATATATATATATATATATATATATATATATATATATATATTATACACCCACAAACACACACATACAAACAATTTGATTATAATGAACCGAAAAGGTCTGTCTGTAATTTTCGACTAAAGTGTTGAGTATTGTGTTCGAAGTTGTGGATAAACTGTCCAAAGTTTATATTTTATTATTTTTGTTCAAGTATTTACTACTTGCCATTATCAAGAACCGATGTGGGGTCTGTGTGATAGTTTTAACTTCTTTGATTGCTTCTTGGTATTCATTCGGACGCTGGACGTTTAAAAATGGTCTCTCCTGACGTCATGCGTAACTACCTTTGATATCACAAAAATATATTTATAGAATGAGCTGGCAAGACTATGTTTGCATATGTTTTTGCGGGTGGGATTTCTCGAATCCAGCATTGACATGGTCCCCCTGACGCCGGATTATTGAGCTAAGACTCTCTCTGTCTCTCCTCTCTCTGTCTCTCTCACTCACGCTCTCTCTGTCTCTCTGTTTGTCTGTCTGTCTGTCCGTCCGTCCGTCCGTCCGTCTGTCTGTCTGTCCGTCCGTCTGTCTGTCTCTTCCTCTCTCTCTCTCTCTCTCTCTCTCTCTCTCTCTCTCTCTATATATATATATATATATATATACACACATACAAAGAATTTGATTTTTATGAACCGACAAGGTCAGTCTGTGTAATTTTTGGGTATTGTGTTCGAAGTTGTGGATAAACTGCTCAAAGTTCACCTTTTGTTATTTTTGTTCAAGTACTTTTGATTTTCACAATCATTATCAAGAACCGATGTAACATTAATAAAAATTAGAAAAAATGTCACGAAGCCCGTCCTTGACGCAAAAAAATAAATACAATATTAATTTATTCTGTCTTAAACAAATGCACCCTAATTATAAACAGGATGTAAAAGCAATTAAAAACATTATTCATCGGTACACATTGCTCAATGATCATAAAAAAAAAACACACTTACGATTTATTATCTACTATAAAGCATCTAACTTAATTATTACCAACAACATCGGACCTCATAAATATCCACTATATAAAAAATAATGTTGTCTGTGAATTCTCATGAGATATCCCCCACCCCGCATCTCCAACAGTAATAACCAAGAAAAAACATTAAATATCCTACACATTCACCACACTCTCACACATTCACCACACTCTCTCGCAGATTAACCTGTCACCTTTCTAAACTTAGTGCAATTCGTTCACATATCGACTAACCTATCATGGACAACCAAAATGTAATTATCAACATAAGGCAAATATTAGTAGATAGTATGAAAATAATCAAAATCATCCAGTGTAAGGAAAGACTCAAAACTGTAGAAGTTATTATTATACAAAATAAATAGCGTACATTAAATCAACGCAGGAGACAATACCTTGAAGTGCATATGGCATAATTAATGTGCGCTCGCATTATATTAATATTAAAAATATTTAAAAAATCAAAAATAATTTATTAATAAAATAAATCGCAATCATTTTGTGCATCCTCGTTCCCAATAGCTGTGAAATATGACGTCACCCTAGACCATTTCAAACGTCCAGCTTACCAAAGAATACCAGGATGGAGACAATGGAATTCTAACACATAGACACCACATCGGTTCTTGATAATGTCTGCAAAAGTATTTGAACCTCCAATCCCACCCAAAAAAAAAAAAAACATCGGACATTTTATCCAAAACTTAGAGCAAATACTCAACAACTTATCCGAAAATTAGAAAACTATGAAAAAAAAAAAAAAAATAGACAGACCTTGGTTCTTTTTAATCATACTTGTTTATATATATATATATATATATATATATATATATATATATATATATATATATATATATATATATATATATATACAAAAGTACATACACTTGTGTATAAGGCCTGTTGCTCTTTTCTTTCATCGCCTTTTCACACAAAACACGTTGACATACCTATGCATATCAACTAACAACCCACATTAAATAAAATATTATTCAACGCAGAAGATGGTATCTTGAAAGTGCATATGGTATAATGTGCACAAATATTATTTTAGTATTAAAAATATTTGAAAAAATCGAAAATAATTAATTAATAAAATAAATAAATCGCAATCATTTTGTGCGGCCTCGTTCCCAATAGTTGGGATATATGACGTCACTCTAGATCATTTCAAACGTCCAGCTTCCCAAATAATACAGGATTTAGACAAAGGAATTCTAACTACTACATCGGTTCTTGATAACGACTGTGAAAATCGAAAGTACTTTAACAAAAATAACAAAATGTGAACTTTATACAGTTTATCTACAACTTCGAACACAATACCCAACACCTTACCCGAAAATTTGACATCCTTTGTCGGTTCTTTTTTATTCATATATATATATATATATATATATATATATATATATATATATATACACACACACACACACACACACACACACACACACACATATATATATATATATATATATATATATATATATATATATATGTATATAGCTGGCCACTCATATTCGTGGATACCGGTCTACTAGGGCGGCTAGTGAATCCCTATTGCAGACGCTTGTGTTTATTCACAGAGCCACAACCACAAAGCCTCTATATGCATCTATATTTATTATGCGACTATGATGAACAGTTTCTGGGAAAGAGCATGTTATCTAGCGTGATCAACAATTTCTTTGCTGTTGAAAGAAATTGCCCATTACATATATATAGTAGATAGTACAAATACATATATATATGAAACTGACAAAGTTTCTAAATAATAATAACAATAAAGACCACAAACAAAAACGGTGCCTTCTTATTGATATGGCAGTCCCTGCTGACTGCAATGTATCTTTGAAGATATCCAAAAAGCTGTCAAAATAAAAGGACCTTGAAATCGAAATCTCAAAATGTGGCATATGGGAACATCAACAAATCCCTGTTGTAGTTGGAGCCCTAGGAGTGGTTGGAAAAGATACCAGTAGACTTATTGAAGGGATTACTGGAAGTCCATGCCTCAAGGAGATAAAAAAAAATGGTTCTGACAAGTACAGCCCACACTTTACGAAGGGCTTTATCTATGTAAATTTTTTTTTTTTTTTTTTGTCAGTGGAAAGTGTCATGATGCCATTTCTAACCTTAGGTCCCTGGGCAGGACCCGGAAAGTAATGTGTACACGCCAGAAATAAAAAAAAATAAAAATAATAATAATAATAATAACAGAAATCATCGAAGAAAGAATCCTGATCATGATATAGTGTCCCTTAACCGATTATAGCCTGGCGAAGCCCATCCCTCTTCAGACTAGTTTTGAATTCAGAGCTGTCCTTCTTCTAGATTAGGTGCCCTGTCAAGGCAAGATTACCTAGACTGTACAGTTATTTAATCAATAGCTGGAGAAAGATGAATTCATACATTGTTCAAGTTCAAATAGTATGAAAATCAATGAAACACAATCAGTTAAAATCTGAACCTGGCACACCGATTTCGAACGTGTGGATATCGTAATGGTTTACGAACCAAAATGCTACCCACAAATCCGATGTGATTAAATTCGTAAATCAGTTTTTGTAGAGAAAAATGGAAACCAGGGTACCTGAAATTCATTCGTAGACTAAGCTCCTCTAAAATTTGTACGGCCAAACCTTCAAACTCTGAAGAATTTCCTTCTAACCTCGTGATGTAAGGAGACAGCTGAAAAAGGATAGACATTATTATCATTTTGCCAAACATAGTCTCCCGAGAATCCAAAATATATTTGCGCATTCGAAATTATTAATGCAATAATTGTTAAAAAAAATAAGTAAGCACTCGTTCGAAATTAAGTGATACGGACGAGATTTTACATTTAATTTTTGTAGCTGAATCAGAAGTCCCTATAGAAATGAATTCAGTTTGTTCCACTGTACATCAGAAAGAGAAAATGCAGAATTTAATTCCAGAGCGAAATGCTTTCATTGCTTGTAGAATTAATCAGTAAATGTTTATGCCCGAAGGGTTAGCAAACAGATATTTGGCACGTTTGAAACATTTTCGAAATGCTGTATATGTCATCTAAAAGTAGGCAGACCCAGGATTACAGAACTGGTTTCACTTCAAGAATTTGTCAAGTTATGAGCGTCTGAAGTTAAAACGTGTACATTTAATTGGAATATCTCTCTATATCTGTAAGATGAGGTATTATGATTACTTGCATTATTTACATTATTCGGACTATTATCCTCATCTTTAATGTCATATTCTCAACGTTTCGGCCGTTGTACGCACCGGCCTTCTTCAGGTGATTGGAATTTCGAAACCGAACCCATTGGAACTAGAACAGTCTACCCCCGGTGGACGAAATAAAGGGTTGTGAATATGGCAATAAAGATGAGGATAACAGTCCGAATAATGTAAATAATGCAATTTAATTGTAATCTTATTGAAATTAATGTTATAAGGTTTAATTTGACATGCTTTTTTTATTGACCCATATGAAGTGTATTTTGAGACCCTACAACACCAAGTTCAGTCAAATTAAAATAATGTTTTGCCGTATGTTTTTTAGTGTTATTCAAAGTTGGAGGGGACAGAAATAAATTCTGATCCTTCTACAAAAATAGACAATTTTTTCTTATATTTTAGTGTTAATTTCTCAAATATTAAAACAATTTAAACTTGCAAAAATATAAGAAAATTATTCTTATAGATATTTAAAACATTCTGTTACTTTCATAGAATAAATTAATCCGTAAACCAATTTTGGCCTCATATGCTGGACTTCAAATAATAGATTCAGAGAGCACTTTCCTTGTATTCATCAGAAAATCATGATCTAGACCTCTGTTTTTTTGTTTTGTTTTTTTTTTGTTTTTTGTTTTTTTTTGTTTTTTTTTTGTGGGGGAATGCTAGATCTCAGCACTGAAAACCTCCAGCAAACACAGGGAATTGTGAAGAGCCATGATCCTCTATATCCTGGCAGATAGAGAAAGAGAGAGGCGGGGGGCTATAATCAAAATAATTATAAATATGCTCAAATAGAAGCTTTGAACCTACCATCGAATCGGCCGGATTTTCCTTGCACATACTGAAATATTGGGGGTCAGGTGTCTCTTTGTTTTTCAAAGATTTCATTGCCATCCAAATCTTTGCACCTTACAACAGGTATTCCCAATCGGTATTGATCAGGCCCTATATTTTCATATATATTGTTCTATATACATTTTTCTATATATTTTCTACATAGTCCCTATATATTTTTCCTCATAATTTATAAATGCATATTTTTTCTATATTTTCTATATATTTTTCCTTATCAGTTATAATACTTAATATTTTAAAATATAGATTAATATTTTTAATCATATTTATCTTTTTTTTATTTCAGGACGTCATCGACCTGGCTCTCCACAAATTCCTATCCTTTGTAGCTCTTAGCAATATTTGTCTTTTCACCCCTAAATCCCTGTTCTACCAATAATTTAAACAAGATCGTTAGATAAATTATTCGTTTCTCTCCTCTGTCCATCTTGCTTTCAATATGCCCTGTGGGTATCAAATTCTCCAAGCGTTTTCCCTTAAGAATTCAAATGTCTCTTTCTGATGTTAAGCATAAGCGTCCTTTTTCCCTATTTTTCTAAACCTTCCTCGTTACACACATATTAAGTCCACAGGAGTTTTAACATCATTTTATAGAAACATATCTCTGTTGTCTCAAGTCTTTTTTATCATCTGCGAGGAGACTGTCCAGCAATCACTGCCATATAAGAGGACCGATATTACATATCAGTTCAGTACTTTTTCTTTGTTTCTTACGAGTTTTTCCTGTTTCTTAATATTTTGCTTAGCTTTTGGAAGGCAACTTTCACTATTTCAATGCACCTTCGGATTTCGGTGTTACATTTTCCGTTCTTTGTTAAAACAATTTAGAGATATTTATTTATTTTTTTTTAGTTGCTTTATCTTGGTGTTTCCCATTCATGGGCTGTTCCTTTTGCATTCTATCTTCTACAATTTTCTTTCCTTTACTATCTTCTATAAGATTCCCTGTAGTTTTCTTTTCTCTATCTGCTATCAACACTGTGTCATCTGCATATGTTGTTAAGATTGTGGCCGCCAATAATGAATTCTGGATAAGAGTAGAGGCTGAATACGACCGACCCTTTTAATATTTCTATTTCTTTTTACCAGCTTTACCTATTATTATAATAGATGCTACGCGGCTTAATTATATCTTTATATCCCATGACCCGTAAGGGCACCATGTGTACTGCAGCCGCAGTAGAAATGGTGTTTTGGGGGCAAGATAGCCTAACGGGGCACAACCCACTCCTTGAATTCAGAGTTTTTCCTTCTCTCAGACCGATTGCCACCCAAGTCTATAGAACTCAATCTGTCCTGCTATTTACCATCTAGGGTTGTAGGGGCATCATGTGTACTGCAGCCGCAGTAGAAGTGGTAATTCTTGGGCAAGATAGCCTGACGGAGCCCAATCCTCTCCAGGCCAGTTTTGAATTCAGAATTTTTCCTTCTCCTAGACCGGTTGCTACCCATTATGTCCTGCTATTTACTCATAGCTGGAGAAGAAAAGGAATTCGAACTCGGCTCTCTGATTTTTCAATCCGAGTCGCTATCCATTACTTCATCGTGCCTCCTTTTTCATTATATTACATTGTAATTAATATAATATTATTGACGGCGTATTTAAAAGAAAAATGAAACAAAATAAAATTATATATTATTGATTTAGCCTAAACAAATAAACCTAAGAAATAAATATTAGCTTCGTCTTGTGCGGAGTTAAACTGGGAAGATTATCATCGCATTTATTCACATAGCAATGTCAAGAGATTTTGCGTTTTAATTTGTATCCTAAGATAATTAAATAACTACAGCATACATACATACATACATACATACATGCTTATATAATGACTGTCGTTTAACGAGTATGGCCATCGCTGACTAGTTGGATCCATGTTTCTAGTTAAGGTAAAAACGACAATGGCCCTTGAAGCAAACAAATGACTTGCAATGCTTACTGTTGACATAGTGAACGGAACCCTGCTCAATTGTGCAAATAGAGTACAGGTTGCTCGTGAGTTTTCATGTGACGGGTGGGACAGGAACGGATTCTGCATGTCTTCTGGCACAAACCGCATGTTAAGTTGTTCATACATATATACCTATGTGCGTGTGTGTGTGTGCATATGAGAGTTTGAAATAAATATTTATGCATATAGATAATTATTAACTTCATATAGATAGATATGAACAGAATGTTATAGGTAATAAACAGAATTATATCTATATGTCTCTGTCTCTTCTTATATATATATATATATATATATATATATATATATATATATATATATGTATAAAAGTGAAGTCAACATCTAGAGGCGAAAGTCTGTTTCATGCTAAACGCAGTTTGTCAGGCCACAGACTGTCACCTCTGGATGTCGGTTTCAATGCTCACTGTTACATTTACATACGCTCTATCCCTGGTATTGAGCACTTTAACCCATAAATATACCATACCTTAATATATATATATATATATATATATACATATAAATATATATATATATATATATATATATATATATATATATATATATATATATATATATGTATGTATGCATGTAGCTAGATAGATACAAATATAGTTTTAAGGTATCCTATATTTGTCGGTAAAAGCGCATAATAGAGATAGAACGTATGTAAATATAAAATATAAAAGTTAACATTGATGTCAACACCGAGTAGCGACAGTCTGTTTCATGTGTGAACGCCATCTTCAGGCCATGTGTATTGCATGTTGGATCGACTATTTATATATGCTGGTCAGTGGAGGAATTATGTGTAGCAAAAGCTGTTTTATTACCCTAACGGTTATTGCATAGTTCGTAACGATGATGTTTCATAGAAGCTATTGAGAAGGTATAATATTGAGTCCGAATGTGGTTATTTCTAGGGATTGCTTAGCAAACTTTTTACTCGTTATTCATTATTGATTACTTAATTATCTGTTGTTGTTTATTATTATTACATATACTTGTGTTGATCTGTCTATTCGCAGTTTGTTAATTTGTTTACTTATCTTAACTTTTGTTTTGCTTAAAGCATTGGTTTCTCTGCATATTTTTTCTTCGCACATACTACTCATCTTTTGATCCAAATGTCTTTAATGAACCACAAAAACAAACGAATTAGCTTTGCCGTTCCAATACTTTTGGAGGATACTCTATATTCACTAAGACGAAAATGTTTAGAAAGTGCTTTAATCGCCAGTTCATTCCTAGTAAATTTGCGTTTAGGTTCTTTAACATTTAACCATTCTTGGCAGATCTTCTATTACCAAAATGTGGGATTGAGAGAGAGATGGAAAAAGTGAGACAGATAGGAACACAATTAGATAGATAAATATTCCGTATTTAGTAATATAAAGTTACATATTGTCGAAATAAAGAGAAATATTTCAAATTTAGTGATTAAATAAAGATTGAATGAATTATACCGGTACTGTAGAAACTCTGAGTATGGCATTTCCAAGTCCGTACTTCCTGTTAGGGAATAAATCATCTTTCACAATCAGATTCGTATCCGGCCGCCATCTTGCAATGGTAGTTGCTATGGAATTAGCAAACCCTTTATGTATAGTGGATACTTCAAATGCTGGGTAGCAACTGTTGGAAGGTGGTGAATGGGGCGTCATTAGTATTCCGCTGACATCTGACTGTAAAAAAAAAAATATTTTGTTGGCTTCATGATAAAAATTGAGGTTCATTGTCAAGATCAGACAAAATGGCTCTGCTGTCATGTTTAATGTCATAACGGCGAATGTATTTTAAGGATTATGCTACAAATCCTAAGAATAAATCCCAGAGTTGTGATGAGAAAGTGGTCTTTAACACATAAGAAATAGAAACATTAACCCTTGTAGCTTTATAAGGAGGTCAATTTCAAAGAGATGCATCGGGGTGTGCGAGATTCATCTTTGCTTGCGACTTGTTTATATTTACTATTTACGCTGCTTATCAACGATCGTAAATTTAAGATCTTGGAGTCGTGGTAAAAATTTTATCCGAAAAAAATCAGTAATAAAAAGAAATTATACCCTACGGTAAATTATTTCTGCAGGATTCTAAGTTTGTTTATTTTAAATGGAATTTGTAGCGAATATACTTTATAGAAATATTCTTAAATGTTATTGAATTTTAAAATTTGAAAAACTGTAGGAAAACGTACTACACCCATCAGGGTCATAAATCCTACCAAGAGGCGTGGTACAGTTGGCGGTCATAAACCTACAAAGTGGCTTGTTAAAGTTAGCTGTCGTAAATCCTCCCAAGAGGTTTGGCACAATTAGCGGTCGTAAACCCTTTCAAGAGGTTTTTACAATTAGCGGTCATAAACCCTTCCAAGTCGCTAGATACAATTAGCGGTCATAAACCCTACCAAGAGTCTTGGTACAATTGGCGGTCATAAACCCTGCCAAGTGGCTTGTTAAAGTTAATAGTAGTAAATCCTTCCAAGAGGTTTAGCACAATTATCGGTAGTAAACCCATGCAATAGACTTTTTTACAATTAGCGGTCTTAAACCCCAGCAAGAGCTTTGGTACAATTAGCGGTCATAAACCCTATCAAAAGGCTTGGTACAATTAGCGGTCATAAAACCTTCCAACAAGATTGTTACAATTAGCGCTCGTAAACAGCTCCAAGAGATTTTCTTCAATTACCGGTCATAAATACTACCAAGAGGCTTTGTAAACTTGGCGCTCGTAAAACATTCCATATGGTTACGTACAATTAGCGGTCGTAATCGCCACTAAAGTTTGCAGTGTTTGCAGGTAGTAAAACTGGTTTAATGTTTAAAAGCATGAGGGATATATCTGGGTGGTAACTCTGGCTTAATGATTTAAGGCATGAGGGATATAACCGGTTGGTAAAACTGATTTAGTGTTTTACGGCATGAGAGATATAACCGGGTGGTAACACTGGTTTAATGTTTTACGGCATGAGGATATAACCGGCTGGTAACCCTGGTTTAATGATTTAAGGCCTGAGGGATATAACCGGTTGCTAACACTGGTTTAATGTTTTACGGCATGAGGGATATAACCGGCTGGTAACACTGGTTTAATGTTTTACGGCATGAGGGATATAACCGGCTGGTAACACTGGTTTAATGATTTAAGGCATGAGGGATATAACCGGGTGCTAACACTGGTTTAATATTTTATGGCATTAGGGGTATAAACGAGGGGTAACACTTATTTAATGTTTTACTGCGTGAATTCTATGAGCATGCACATGAGGGCTATGGATAGTTTAAAACTGCAAAATCCCTGTAGAATCTTGTTACCTCGCAACTTGCTTCTATGAGCATGCAATGGCTATGGATATCAAAAACACCCCCAAGTGACGAAGCCAAGAATATTACGTTTTTGGTAATGCTGTCGATCAGAGAACGACAAATCGAGGAAACAAAATCTGTGTCTAGGCTATAAAAATACCATGGACAGAACATGTAAACAATTAGGAAATCTGACACAAAATGGTAACAAGGAAACATTTACTCGTACTTACAATCAGAAAATGTGGAAATAAAGCGTTGAGAAGTTAACACTCAAAGGATATATTGAAGGCAAGTGAAGCGGGTTGATTGATTGATTCGTTTTCTACGGCTTATCAATCCTTTGCAGGTTATTTAAAGCCAGAAAATATTTTAAGAAATTTTGTGGGGCGAAATAATAATGTTTTATTGATACAAGTTTTGCTAATTAACACATACGAGGAACGGATTGATTCATATTTTTCCCAAGTGTATTTGCGCCTAAATGAATATAACGAACTCAGCGGGAATTGAAACTCGGCTCTCCGATTAACAATTCCGTGCCATTATCCATTACACCACCCGCACATCCAAGTTTACAGCATCTGGTATTCCCAAGTGGTCACTCATCAAGGAATAAAAAATCAGACAGGAAGTTGTGAAGAGCCGTGATCGTTTATATTCTGGCAGATAAAAAAGAAAGAAAAAGAAGCCGGGTTTAAAATCAAATAATCATAAATATGATCAGTTTTATACCTACCATAGAATAGGCCGGGTTTTCGGTGCACATTCTGAAATAGTGGAGGTCAGGTATCTCTTCGCTTTTCAAAGATTTCATTACCATACAAATCAAAGGTAGAATGTATTTGTGATCTTTTGGCAACTGAACATGAAAGAAAACGCAAAAATAGTGTATCAAGGCTTGTTAGTTTTACAAGACAATTATCTTCCATACATATCCCCATAAACTGTGCCTCTTAACTCTTACTCAGTATAGCTCTACCTTGAATGGCTCTTGTGCCTTGTACACGCGTACATTATTGTAAAAAGTATCCACTCATTAGCGATCTCACGATGGCGATAAATTGAATTTATCTAAGAGAATTTATCAACATTTTTACGTTTTCTTATTTATGCAAATAACACAATATTCAACATATCAATGTTTGTAGTTAAATTATTTTAAAAAAAACTTAACTGTGAGTTTGTATTTTTTTTTTTTGTTATTATTCATATTCTTAGTATATTTGTGTGTTTTCTTTCTTATCAAGCAGGTTGTAAAAAAATGAACAGACATTTCTTGATTAGTTTTTCCTTCCGCTTGTGCTGTTAGGCGTCGCGCGGAGACAAAGTCGTCTATCAGCGGCAAGGAGAGTGGCCTGGAGGAGAGATATCTCGTAGGCTCTACCACTGAGTCGCTCCAGCGTCTTCTTGGTCTGCCCCCCTCTCTCTCTCTCTCTCTCTCTCTCTCTCTCTCTCTCTCTCCAGCCAGATTACCTGAAGGTGTATGCTCGTAGGCCTGGTTGGTTGATAGGCATACGAATGATGCGTCAAACCACTTGATCCTCTATCGTTTGATGTTTTGTATGATTGGTATTGGTCCTAGCATATCTCTTATTGCCCCATTCCTGTTCTTGTCTCACCTGGTCTTGTTCGCTGCTTTCCTCAAGTATTTCATCTTACAAGTGATCAGTTTCCTCTCAGGGGTTTTTGTTATGTCTCGTATGTCAACGTTGGTAGGAAAATGGCGTTGATGAGATTTGCTTTGGTGCTCATGGAAATGCTAGCTAGGATGTTTTAGAAGAGAGGCAAGTAAGTAACTGACTGCGTTTGCTTTATGACATCTGTAAACTAGACAAAGAAATCGAAACCAGATATCAGAAAGCCAACAGATATTTCCCATGCGGGTAAAAGTCCATAATTCGCATGCACGAAAATTAAAGTAGAAAGAACTTTTTTTTAAAAAAGTTTTTTAAAGAAATCAAATTAAAGAACTTGGTTAGTGATGTAATGGAATAACCTGTCATCCCCATGAGTGACTATACCATAGCTAGTAACTACCTATAAGTATTCCGTAAGGCAACGGACTACAAGAGTTGATCCAGCTGCGCTAGTCGAACTCTCTGCCTTCGGGCAGAGGGGAACCCGGACTAGGCTATGCCGAAGGGCAGAGTTTCGTCCGGGGAGGTAGACAGACCCGATCCCGCTTATGCGGGGTCTACGGGGATTTTTTGGCCGAGCCTCCAGGCTCGGGAACTGCGTGTGGTAGTTACTAAATTCCGTTTAGCTGGGATCTGTTACTCACTTAGCTGCTGTCGAATTCGTAGCCTTCGGGCAGAGCGGAACCTAGACGAAGCTATGCTGAAGGTCAGAGTCTCGTCCGGGGAGGTAGACAGACCTGAACCCGTTTATGCGGGGTTACGGGGAATTTTTGGCCGAGCCTATGAGCTCGGATTGCCCCACATTAAATTCGACCTTGTGCCACATCCTACCTTGTGGGGAGGCTGGTAAATATTGTATAGCTGGGATCTGTTTAGTACGACTCAGACTTACGCGAGAACTACCGACCTTCCAATAGTAGCACTCACTACTGGATTGACTTGGTACGGTCGTGCGAATAGCTGTTACCTTATTTCTTATTGTACTGGTTTTACAATAAACCTTTACTAACTTTTACTACCGTGTTTGTCAAATATATATTCCTATTAGCATGGAATATAACAGCTTGGATAATTTTGTTTAGCGTCATATCAACCTCTATGGGTTATTTAATTCCGAAATCTAAATATCTTGATTGGTTTGGTTTGGATTGGTTGCCTTTGTTTAGAGGAATATCAACCTCTATGGATTATTTAATGTCGAAATCTAAATATTTTCACTGCTTTGGTTTGGTTGATTTTGTTTAGCGGCATATCAACCTCTATGGATTATTTAATGCCGAAATCTAAATATTTTGAACACAATTGTATGGCTTCAACTTCAGATAAAATGTATTGTTCGTAATTCTACAATAGATAGGCTTTGGTGGTAATATTTTTTATACAATAATGTATTTCTGGTATCTTTAGAATAAAATGTATTTTTATACTATCATAATGTTTCGATTTTGTTTCTGGGACCCTAACATGTGTTACCCAACCCCGGGTTAAGGTAGACCTGGGGACAACAGCAATTAAGAGATGGTTATATCCTCTTCAAAACCTCCAATCTCCTAATCAGAGACTTACCCCTGGATGCCGTTTAGGGTCATACGCAGGACTAAGAACAAAGAACTTGTGAAGATTGTTGTTGCAATATGACTTTGGTATCCAAAAGTTGTTCTGATGGATGTATTTGGAGATGTCCTAAAACGAAGTGCATCTGTAAACAGTAAGTTCCACTCGAACAGCTTCTTCCCGCGAACCACTGCCCTGTGGAACCGACTCGCAACAAGGTGTTTCCCGATCACTATAATCTTAACCCGTTCAAAGCCAGGGTTAACCAGTATCTTCCACTCCTATACACACAAATAGCCAGAATTTTTAAAGGGTGAACCTCGCTGTAAAAAGGAGGAAAATCTCCGGAAAAGGCTAATTTTTAGTTCATACTCAAACAATATCTGACTTTATCTAAGAAAAAAAGGAACCAAAAAGCATTCGTACGAAATATATGTCTGAATATATATTTCCAGAAAAATCACAAAATGTATTTATTAATGTATTAAAAACAATAAACGAAATTTTAACTCGCTATTTTGCGCATGCGTGCAAATTATGTCCCTGATATTTAGACTTCTGTCGAAAATCGATTTAAAAAAAAAACAAAAACAATTATTTACCTGTCTTTGAAGATCGCCTACTAACTCATCAGCTTTTCGAACGTCTTTCCCGTCTCCATCGCATGCGCTTCGAAAAAGCAGCATGTTGGCATTTCTTGGATTAATTCCGAATTCTACTAATTCTTCTGGTTCTAAATTATCATCTACGAATATCCAGTACGATTTCCCGATTGTCATCTGGAGAATCGATGCCTGAAGGTGAGGAGGAAAAGTTAAATAGCGATAACGTTTCAATAACATTTCAATATATGCAAAACATCGACAAAAGATTTCAACATCGACTTAAACGACATTAATCCTTGGTTCTTTGTCGTGAAACTCACCGTTTGAAAGACAAATCTCACGTTTTTATGGTTTTCATTAACAACAATAAAGTAACACATTCCATTGAACATAAATTATTTATGCAAAAAAGATTGAGAGTTTATACAAACAATAAATATCTTACAAACTCTTTAGATAATTTCAACAATCTCTGCAAACATTATGAAATAACAAAGGGATTTCTTAAACTGGGACCTAACTGCCATTTTGAATTTTGACAGCAGTATATAAAAAAATGGAAACTGATTCGCTTTTTACGGCTTATCAACGCTTTACAGGTTGTTTAAAGCCAAGCAATACTTTTAGATTATAATAATTTGTGGATGGATATAATAATGGTTTAATGATACAGGTCTTACTAATTAACTCATATCTGGGGTAGAAGAGTTGAATTCATACCTAATCAGAATTTGATAAGCAAACAAAAACTTATAATGGTATAAAGTGGGGGATAAATTCTATATTACAATCAGTATATAAGCTAATCCCTCACCTTGTGGCCATGGTAGTTTCAATGCATTTACATTCTAGAGAATGTAAATAAATATAAAAGACTTGCCTGTGTAGCTAAATGGGTATTTGATTAATTCGTTTTCTACAGCTTATCAACGTTTTGCAGGTTATTTAAAGCCAGAAAATATTTTTAGATTGTAATTTTATTAGATAATAATGGTTTAGTTATAGAAATATTAATAATTAACTCATAGCTTGGGGAGAGGAAGATTGATTCATACCTTTCCCAATGGTATTCGCGCGTAAGTGAATATAATATAACGAATTCAACGCTAACATTAGCCTACACAGAAATAAGAAAAACATTTTTAATTTGGAAGAGATAAATGTAATGTTTTTGCTATTTCAGACAAGACTGATTGCAATGCAAAGCTTGAATGTATTCTTGAGAAGAAATCTAAATTTAAAAAAGATAAAACAAAAACACCAGCAGCCTCCTCAAGGTAATTAAATAAACTTATTACAACCAACAACACTGAAATCGGATCAATTAAACTGCACAAAATTGTGAATGAATATTATCCTAGCTACTTATATGAGGACGGAATTGTTTTTAATCAATTCGCCCAAAGCAAGGTAATAATGCCACTAAAACACAAGGAACAACTTGGGATGAAAGAGAATGAGAAAACTTTATAAACCGGAAACTCAATCCTAAATAGGAAACTACGCATGCTCACAAAACTGATGAAGACAATTGTAACTCACCTCTACACCTTATAATTTCCCAATTTCTCTACGTTACCTAATTTTACAAATCCTTATTTCTGTATATTACTCATGGAAAATCATTGAACCAACTGATCCTTTATCCTTTATGTCTTTATCGACTGTATCATGACTCAAAGAACATATGGCACAGTGGATAAAGGCGTTAGTTAGATCCAATGACAGGACCCAAATAGTGTGAGTTCAATACCTGGTTAAGACAGTGGAGAACTTTCAGCGGGGAATTAACAAGAGATAACTGACATTCATTAGACATGGCACATGGAACTAGAACAGTCTACCCCAGTGAGCGAAATAAAGGGTTCAGTTCGACATTCCAACCACCTGAAGAAGGCCGGAGCGTACAACGGCCGAAACGTTGGGATAAACATGGCGACAAAGATGGGGACAATAGTCCGAATATTGTAAATAGTGTACATAATACCTCCTCTCAGAAATATAGACAAATACCTTTTTATGATCATCACGGAAACCTTTATTCACAGGCTAATGGCGTAGCTATTGGTTCACCTCTCGGTCCTATTTTATCTAATTTCTACATGGCCAAAGTAGAAAACAAACTGTTAAATATATATCCGAATGTAATGAGAGCGAAAATAATATAAATTCTAACGTTCACAGCATTTGGGCTCTCACTAGTCCAGATGCAAGCGCATCGAAACAAAAATAGATCTTTGTCGTGAGTAATATGTTTTGTCCGTAAGTAAAAATTATAATATATATATAAGTTAAAGATCAAATGTAGATGAAATATGGATAGGAATCCGACAGAACAAATTGGAAACGATTTTTCATCTATAAATAGAAAAAGTTTATCTGTTTCACTTTTATTAAAGCTTCGTCAGGAATAAGAAACAGAAACAAAAAGAAATAAATTCTGGTATTTTCAATTTCGTGTAGTGGGATTCTCATTGGTCAGTCAGGTACGTATTACATACATATAGTTTTATCTACGCTTATAATGCACATGATACATGACTGACCAATGAAAATCAAACCACACAAAATTCTGTTACACCTCTCTCTAGAGCTTTCAGACATTTCCCTCTCACACTTGTTTCCCACTCTCACACATACACTTTCACTAAAATTTTATTTTTTATACCGGGAGTTATATTTTCCGATTACTTTTTGAATTTGTAGGTCTGATGAATTGGATCGTGATTACGATTCCAATGTAATAAATTATAATCATGGAATATTAGTGTTTGAGCCTTTTTCATTATATATATATATATATATATATATATATATATATATATATATATATATATATATATTTGGTTGGATTGATGTGAGTTTGTGACCTTGGGTTTCACGCTTTTGCGATCGTCAGACAAACTGATTAATTTTTTAAAATTTTGGGTTTATGTACATAGCGTGTATTGGTGTTATTATGGAAGTGGGGGGGGAACGTAGTTGTGATGTCATCGTGCTAACGCAAACATCGATGTATGTTCATACGCCCAATGTAGTCCGCAGACACACATACACACTTGGTCGTCCGTCGGGTTTCATACATATGCGGACAGTTTCGGATTTGACATATTTATGTATACACACACTTTTCACACACACACACACACACACACACACACACACACACACACACACACACACACACACACACACACACACACACACACACACACAGCATATTCATACTAGCGAAAATCATATACAAAACTTTTTAAAAAATCTTAAATTAACCTTCGAGAAAAAAAATTTGCTCTAAACTTGGCTGATTTATTAGAACGTTCACTTTCTGACCATGAAACACAGGTTCGAATCCTAACATGGTCGATATGTTAGTAAGGTGATGTTGTCGGCTTGGGGCTTGGGGCGAGGAAATCGATTCCAATGTGTGTCACTTTTGAAAAGAGCCTGAAAACGATAGCACAGATTTACTGAGGCCTTATGAGTGGAATTTGGTGGGCGAAGCTGTGTGTATGCCGTCGATGACTGTGCTCGTTTGCACGAAATCATAAGTCATTGTGATCGAGGCTTTGAGCGTCCTGGTCTTGCCAAACCTTTTGAACACGTCAGACTATGTACCTTCTTCAAGAAACTGTAACTAAGGTCCTCTCAGCATAGTTGCAGTATAAAACAGAGGTGAACTGTGTCGTTTTTGAACAACCACAAACGTGCCTGAGCAAGCATCTTCAACGGCTAGCCGTCCTATCAAGTGTCTCTTCTCAGAAACTAGTATCCAAGCAGCATGTATGTATGTATGTATGTATGTATGTATGTATGTATGTATGTATGTGTGTGTGTGTGTGTGTGTGGCCGAGTGGTTAGAACGTTCGCTTTCTGACCATGATACCCGGGTTCGAATCTGTTGTCAAGTTGTCAAGAAGGCGACTTCTTGATGTTATCAGACTGGATTGAGGTCGATCCCAGCGTGCGGCACCTTTGGAAAGTGACTGAAACCTATATCACGGGTTGACCCAAGCCTTGTGTGTGAAACTGGATACACGGAATTCTTGTGGGCCGTCGCTAGCTGTGCTAGCACGAAGCCACAAGTCATCGTGGCCGATGGCTTGAGCGTGTTGGCCTTATTCAAATTGATGATCACGCCAGATAACAGGCTCTATCCCAGAAACTATAACTAAGGTCTGCTCAGTGTAGTTGCAGTATAAACAACATGTGGGTTCTGTGGGTGTGAGCTAACACAAACGTGCCTGAGCGAGTGTCTGCAATAGGGATTGGCTAGCCTCAGTGGCCAGCTATTACGTGTTATAAGAAGAGAAAGAGACAAATTAACCTAAATACATATATAAAAAGCAGGTGATTGACAATTATTCTCGTTATGATAAGACAAAAACAAGAAACGTTAATTTAGAATAAAAGAAATAAAAATAAAAAGTTTTTTAAAGCACCCGCCCCTAAGCAAGGCGGGAGTGTCACTAGTACGCAAGGGGTTACAGAGAGTGAGAGTAAGAGTAAAGAGGAGTGTTTGGGAAAAGGATAAAGAGAAGGACAGGGATCAAGGTAAAGGCACCAGAAGATGTCGATTGACATTACATTTGAATATTTGAAGATTATAGCTATCAGGGCAGCAAGTGGTAGAAAAGGAGTTCCACTAGCGGGAGGTGCAAGATAAGAAGCTGTTAGAGTAGAAGAAACGGCTACATTTAACCGTTTCGACAGTGAAAGGATGAGACCAAGATGCCAACCTAGTACCACGCTTAAATTCATGCAGTTTGGGAATCAGTGAAAGTAGCTCGTCGGAGCAGTTGCCATGAAAGTACTTGTAGAAAAGACAGAGAGAAGCCACAGCACGTCTTTCAGATAGCGACTGCAGACGGGATGCCAGATCAGGAGCAACCACGTTGCATATCCATCTCTGGATTTTGTTGAGGATCTTGAGATGAACAGCGGGAGCATTGACCATATATGGCAGCAATATTCCATGCAAGGACGAATGGTTGATTTGTAGATTTGAAGGATGGACTCAGGCGAGAAAAACCTTCTGTCGCGCCACAAAGAACCAAGCTTCCTTGCAGTAGATGAAGCTATAGATTCAATGTAGTTGTTCCACTTCAGGTCAGTGGTTAGCGTGATACCAAGCAGGCGCAGAGAGGCGCTTTCGTTGGAGGCAGGCAGGTTTCTCTATGGTGGTGAAAAAGTATGGAAATTTGAATCTTTACGAAATGGTCAGCGAAAAAAAAAAAGATATTCTTTGAGTAGTTATCAAACTGGTTTGAACTGCTTGTAAAACTACAGTGTGGTCCGAAAGTCTTGCCACACCCTGCCAAAAAGTAATGAGAACAATAGTAATACAGTTAATACAACGCACATGTACTGGATTCAGTTTATTCGCTTTCATTAATGTTGTCACACACCGAGAAGGCCTGTATGAGCTTGTGTCGGCCATCTGAAATAAAGAATTAAATTCTGTAGGGGTGACAAGACTTTCGGGCCATCCTGTATATAGCACCTTTTGTGCTGAACCTACGCAACCAATTTCTACATGAGATATTCCCCATTCTTTATTTTACAAGAAGTACAAAGACTTCCACATCAAAAGTTGTTTTTCGTTTAGTTTTTTTGTTCGTCAGATGTTCATTATGTGGATATGCGGCTGGTGTAACGATCAGATGCTCAGAACGAGAAATCAGCGAGCCGAGTTCCAATTACGGTCGAGATCATTGCATTCACTTTCGCACAAATAACTTTTCTTCATGTAATTGAGTAGTTATCAACTGTACAGGGTGGTATTAAAGTCTTGTCACTCCCTGCTAAAAAAAGAAAATGAAAACAATAGATGAACCAATAATACGGTAAATACAAAATACATCTACTGGATTCAGTTTATTCACTTTCATTGACGCTGTCACGCATCGAGAATGTTTCTATGAATCTTATCATTTTCGTGGCACAAAATGATGCGGCGCCATGTCCTGCTTGATATTTTACGAATCTGTGCTTTGATGATTGTTGCAAAGGCTCTTTGAACGGCGTCCTTCAACTGATGGGTATTCTGGTATCGTTCATGTGAAACCCTCTCCTTGATAATACCCCACAGAGCGTTGAAATAGAAAATTATGTGATGGTGACAAGACTTTTGGACCCCTGTAGATCGATTTGAAATGGATATTAGAATATTCTAGACTTTATACTTTGCGCAAACGGCCTGCATTCAAAATAGAAAATGAGTAGACACACAAGAATAGAAAGGGAGCGTGAGACAAGGATCTCCCCAGATTTATTCAACCTTTACAGGAGAATTGGAGACCCTACCAGGAGATATTATCAGTGTGTATAATATCAATAATATAAGATACGCAGACGACACTGTTGATGGCCGACTCGAAAAGAAAACTAAACTACAGTAGCTTCTAGACAGGGTTGTAGAAGTAAAAAAAAAGTAGGAAAAAGGACTAACTAACCATTCACTATAAGAAGACAAAAAGTAATCATCAACAGGAGAAAATGCACAAGATTCGAGCTACAAATTGGAGAATTCAATATCAAGCAAGGGCGGGAGTTTAAATATCTCTGAAACGTTTTAACATAGGATAAAAAAATGCGGCACCGAGATCCGAACACACATTGGACTAGCGGAAGATGCCTTCCAAAAGCCAAGCAAGGCGCTGAGAAACGGGAAAAAATCATTAAAAACAAAGAAAAGAGTGTAGGATTTCTATGTGGTGCCCATCCTCTCATATGACAGTTAATTCTGAACAATCTCTTCACGGATGAGAGGAAAACTAGAGGGAGCAAAAATCTGGTTCTACAGAAGGATGCTGAGAATTCCACGGATGGTGCGAGTAAGCAACAAGAATGTCTTAAAGAAAATGGCAACGAAAAGGATACTTATACTCAGAATTAGGAAAAAGCAACTGAAATTCTTTAAGCACATAATGAGGAATGAGGTCTTGGAAAAGTTTAACCCCTAATATTGAAGTCAAGTGATATAGGGGAAGGCAGCGAGCCACTTAACTGACGAAATTGTGTGAATATATAGCGGAGTGGTGTGTGCGCGCTTTAGCAAAGGAGGAAAAACGGCTAAGAGCCACAAAGGATAGGAAGTTGTGGAGAGCGGTGATCGCCAATGTCTTAAAGAGACGCGACACATAGAAGAAGAATATTTACCAAGTGAATGACTTCGCCGAGGGTTTCATTTTTAAGAATCACAAGAAATTGCTTTGGCGACAGACTCTTTTGGTTCAACGAAATGAATTTGGCAAAGATCTTTTCTTTGTAATCGGCGGAGGTCGAGTCGATTGCATACAACGAGGATTTGACGAATCTCTCCGACAATTCTTCCATAATTGACAGAAGTTCCGTTACACCTGCGAAGAGACAGTTCAAAAATATGTGTTGATCAAACAATGAGAAAATGATGTTAAAATTAATTTTGTTGAAAATATGTTGTTTTTTTTTTCTTTTAATTGTTCAATAAATTTACTTCGATTGTCTTCTGGGTTTAAAATTCGAGTATTTGCTCGGGTGAAATTAGGGCAAAGAGTAGCGTTGCGCGCCATAGCTGTTAATTAATTAATTAATCATGTTTTAAATGTCTAATTTGTTTTAATTGGCCCAGTTGAGTAGCCAACGAGATCAGCGGAACTCACACCTTTGATTGTTTTCTGTGGAGCGATTGGAAATCAGTTGTTTCAGACGCGTTCAAGAAATATTGAGGAACTTTCAAAAAAAAAAAAAGAATAAAATATGAATGCAGTAAAATGACTGATGAAATCGTCCGACATATTAACTAATAATATAGGCACAAAAGTGAAATGTGTTTTGAAAAAGAAGAAAGATATTTTGAGCAGCACATATAACAATTAAATAACTAGCAAATAAAATCTTCATGTGTAATTATACTTTTAATAAATTATCTCCATGGTGAGCGACTTTTGCTGTATATCAAGAAAAGGTAGCATTTATTTGTATCCCCGCATCTCACAAAATGTGAATTAAGGTTGAATTTAATGAGCGATTTCGGTAGCTATATAAAAATTGCTCAAGCTTCCTCGGCAATTCCACATTTAGGGACGCCCCAGGTGCCGTATAATGACCCCAGCTCCTTCAAGAAGGATAGGTACTGCCTGGTGAGGACGTCTCTTTAACGTTTGTTAATTTTAATTTTGAATCCGCCGGCTCGACTGAGCAAAGTTAGTATATATGAAGGAAAGTTAGTGTAAATATTGTACGCTACACATTCTGTTCTTAGAATCCGATAATTATTCCTGGTATTTTTTTGTGTGTTTATGGCATGAATAGAAATTTATGAGATCATCTTTATTCGTAAATTTATTGATGTCATGTTAAACTGTACTGTCACTGATATAAAACTAAGTGTCTATCGTAATAAAAATGATTTCATAAATTTCTAATCACACCATAGCAGCAAAATAAAATCCGTAATAATTCTGGGAATCTAAAGAACACTTAGCATTCGTCGTCATCAATATTTACATTAACTTTCTTTGTTATCATGTTAAGTCTTACGGATAAGGACGTAAAAATAAGACACTATCTTTGTCCCAGATATCAAAATAATGCCTTGAAAATCAGCATTTGAAATCTTGTTTTTTTTTTAATCGGACACGAACGCCAATCAACGATGCCAGTGAGAAATGTGAAATAACTTCTATTAAAGATTTCCTCGTTCCTTCATATTTCAGTATGCAAATCTTCATTCAATTTGAATTTTATAAAGTTCCAAAGATGATTACATAATGAGCGCCTTGGCAAGTGTAATGGCTACCCAGAGTATCTGGTCGACTGTGTAGAGAGTTCGATCCTCACAATGTGCCTCATACTTTGACTTTGCGTCGAATTTGTGTTCACTAAACAACTATAGTTACAATTTAAATCAACGTTTCTCAACCGGTTCTACCGGGCGTACTAATGCGCCCTGAAAGGTAACCAGATGCGCCCGGGCGGACTTATGCGCCCTGAAAGGTAGCCAGATGCGCTCGGGCGGACTAATGCACCCTGAAAGGTAGCCAGATGCGCCCGGGCGGAATAATGCGCCCTGAAACGTAGCCAGATGCGCACGGGCGGATTAATGCGCCCTGAAAGGTAACCAGATGCGCCCGGGCGGACTAATGCGCCCTGAAAGGTAGTCAGGTGCGCTCGAAGATAACAGAAGCGTAACTTATGAATAATTTTTAAATTTAAAAAATCTATTTTTAAAAAAGGTAGAAACACCAAGAACATGGCTCCCATGTCTAAATTAAGATTTTGTTATTTGATATTTTAAACTGGATGCTAAATTCTTTAATCTTTAAGAAAGAGTAAATAATCCTTTTTTTTTTTTTTTTGCCTTCCCCAGGAAGTTTAAATCAGTCATTATTGGTCTATCTAAAATGAAATAGGGGATACTTCGCAAATCCCTTTAAATAAAAACTATGCTGCTAATCCTCTTTGTGAATGACTAATTTTTATTATCATAATTTAAAGTGAACTCCAGAGTTTTATTTATTCTAAAGTACGCCATTTTCTAATGTTTGGATTCTTCGCTGTAATTCTGTCATCTCCAAGATTTGCAGGTGTACAGATTAAGAAGACCAATGCCAGTGTCAGTTTGATCTTTGATTTCTGGCAGATGCTCTTGTTTTTCCAAATTATTCTTAGTTGTACGACAGCTGCCATTGTTTCTACTTCTTTTGAAATTATTTCATTCTAGAGCAGTCGCTGTTTATAAATGTGCCAAGATATTTAAATTAGCTCACGACACTTGACCACTTCCTTTTATTTTTTAAGTCATTTTTATTTTTATATATTCTTTTTTATACATAAAAATATTTAAGTAAATTCTCTGTTTATAATAAAAAAAGGATGTATAAACATAAAAAATGTCTTTAAAAATATTTGTCGGACTTTGTCCATTTCATAATGTGTGACGTCATTTGTTTACATTTGGATACGCATTGAGCAGATATGAATGTACGTGAGAGAATCATGGAAGATTGTAGTTTAAAAACAGTAAAATCGACCTTGCTAACCGAACTCTCCTCTGTGGCGAAATCGGTAAAAGCACGTCAGGCTATATGACGGTTCCGTATAGGATACAGGTTCGATTCCTGTCGGAGGACGCATATTGTCTATGAAAATTTCTCGGACATTCAGGCCGGTAAACGTTGTTAATACAGTTTATTATAAACAGAGCATTTACTTAAATATTTATATATTTAAAAAAAGAATGTATAAACATAAAAATATCTTTAAAAATATTTGTCGGACTTTGTCCATTTCATAATATGTGACTTCCTTTTATCTTTGTTCTCATGATTTTTTTCCGGCATTAATCTTCATGCCATATCTGAAGATTAACTAGCGAAGACTCCAAGCCTTGTAAAATGCTACAGAACCAATTTAGGTATCTCCTACGTAGTTCGCGTTACAAATGACACAGTGCGAGACAAAAGTATCAGGTCCACTGGAACACCTGAAAATTCCTGACAACAAAAGAAAGTTGAAATCGTATGGACACGTCATAAGAGCCACTAATTTGTTCGGGTTTGGTACCTTTCGTCGTCGCCCATTTGGCATCGCTGATTCGGCGTCAGAAAAATAATCGGACAATTCGGCACAGGCGTCAGACTGTTTCGACGTCACTGTCTTTGACTAGAAGCACCCCCTAAAAAAGGATAAAAGTATTGAAAACACCCAACTTTCAATATGACTTTTTATTCATTTAGGGAATTAAGGATCCTATTAAAATACAAATGGAATGATTAATGGAATAATGTAAATTAAAATTAAATGAAAAACTAAAATTAAAATGGAATAATGTAAATTAAAAGTAAATTAAAAACTTAAAAATATTGTATTTAAAAAAATTTAAAAAACTTAGTAAAGGTATTTACTCTTAGAAATTACTTCTTCATTTCGTAATTATAAACAACACGCTTTAGGAATTTAATAGCATCGAATGATTCAACTTCCGTCTTGCTCGTTGCGTCAAAAATAAGAAGGTATCCATCATGTATCACTTTGTTTCTTCCAAGTTTTTATAAAACATTTGCTTCCATTTGGAATAAAAAGGATTTGACGAATGAAAAAATATGAAGCTGCACTGAAGGAAATATAATATAAAAATACCTCCAACTGATCTTTTTCTTAAATTTAAAAATACCTCCAACTGCTACTTTTCCTAAATATAAAAATGCCTCCAACAACTCTTTTTCTTAAATATAAAATGCCTCCAACTACTCCTTTTCTTAAATATGAAAATGCCTCCAACTACTCCTTTTCTTAAATATGAAAATGCATCCAACTACTGCTTTTCTTAAATATAAGAATGCCTCCAACTACTCCTTTTCTTAAATATAAGAATGCCTCCAACTACTCTTTTTCTTAAATATAAAAATGCCTCCAACTACTGCTTTTCTTAAATATAAGAATGCCTCCAACTACTCCTTTTCTTAAATATAAGAATGCCTCCAACTACTCCTTTTCTTAAATATAACAATGCCTCCAACTACTCTTTTTCTTAAATATGAAAATGCCTCCAACTACTCCTTTTCTTAAATATAAGAATGCCTCCAACTACTCCTTTTCTTAAATATGAAAATGCCTCCAACTACTCCTTTTCTTAAATATAAGAATGCCTACAACTACTCCTTTTCTTAAATATAAGAATGCCTCCAACTACTCCTTTTCTTACATATAAAAATGCCTCCAACTACTCGTTTTCTTAAATATCAAAATGCCTCCAACTACTCCTTTTCTTAAATATGAAAATGCCTCCAACTACTCCTTTTCTTAAATATAAGAATGCCTCCAACTACTCCTTTTCTTAAATATGAAAATGCCTCCAACTATTCTTTTTCTTAAATTTAAAAATGCCTCCAACTACTCCTTTTCTTAAATTGGACTATTCGAGCAAATTTGAGTATAACGACGAGGTACTAATTTGACTACTAAACGAGAGAGAGAGAGGGGGGGAGAAAGCGAAAGAGGGGGAGAAAGAGAGAGCGAAAGAGAAAGAGAGAGGGGAGAAAGGGAAAGAGAGAGAGAGAGTGAGCGAGAGAGCAAATTTGACTATAACGACGAAGTAGTAATCTGATGCCTAATCGTCCCTCTGCCGAGAAAGTTCCTATGTCGACTCGGCAACACCAAATGGGCTACGCCGGAACGTTCCATTCCCTGTCTGTTCACTGTCATCCTACAAGATACAGACAAGGAAGAAAATGGACTGACAACGTACCAGAGATTCAGATATTGGCACTCAACCAAGATATATGGAGGGAAGTGATCAACTGCTGAGATGCGCAGGGGCCCGACAACCACACCCGGTCATGGGATACGATGATGGTGATATCTTCTAAAATCACGTTATATTCTGCTTCTGTGTCATTGATTACTAATGTTTTTAATTAACCTCTTCGCAATTACACTCTTTTAGTAAGGTCGATGAAAATCGAGAATGTATAAACTTACCCAACGAATTATCGTAAATGATGTTCACCTCTGACCATTTTAATCTCTGGATAATGTCTGCAATGGCAACGTATTTCAATCCAGTGTTTACGTAGGGTTTCGACTCACTGCAATGGTCGAGTGTAAGGAAAATGCTCGGTGCGCTGACAGGATGCACCTTTTGAGGCAGAAAATCTAATGTTTGACATGTGACAACCCATAAAATAAATTGCACGTTTTCTCCAAGCAACGGTCCAACTGAAAAAACAGAAAATGAGATAATCAATTGATATTTATTATTTCTCTCTCTTTCTTTCTCTCTGTCTCTTACTCAGTCAGTTATGTGCCATACGTGATACATGCTTAGGCGATCATGTATCTTACGATACATGACTGACAAGGCAGATTTTTTCCCGCCGTAGGTTGTCATTTATTTCTGCGGTAGACCAGTTGCCATCCAAGGCTATAGAACCCGGTCTATCCTGCTATTTACCCATAGCTGGTGGGAGAAGAAGAGGATTCATACCTTTCTCAAGGGTATTAGAACGTAAGTTAATGTAATGGATTCGACTGGAATTCGAACTCGGCTCACCGCTAACCATTACTCCACTCACTGTTTAAATGTCTCACACCTTCTTTCTCTATCTCTTTTTTTCTCTCTCTCTTTCTCTCTCTCTTTCTCTCTTTCTCTCACTCACTATTTCAATTTCACACTCCCTCTTTCTCTATCCCTTCCTCTCTCACTTTCATTTCTTAGCCTCTTTTCTATCTCTTTCCCTCTCTTTCTCTCTCTTTCTCTCACTCACTCTTTCAATTTCTCACTCTCTCTTTTTTATCCCTGTCTCTCTTTTTCACTCTTTCATTTCTCACTATCTTTTCTCTCGCTCTCTCTTTTTCTCTTTCTCTCCTTCTTCGTCTGTCTTTCTCTCTAGCGACACACAGACATACGTCCGACTACTCGTTTCGGAGCACAGTCGCTGTTATAGACACCTGTCCAGGCACATTCGTGTTTGTTCAACCTCAAGTGAGCCTACCTGTGGCCTTCAACTGATGAGCAGACCTTAGTTACAATTTCTGGGAGAGAGTACATAATCTGGCCTGACTAACAGTTTTAACAAAGCCACAATGACTTGGGACATTTTGCTAGAACAACCATTGACGAACAGTTCTGTCTACCCAACTTTTCTCACAAGGCTTGGGTATGGTTTTCAAAGTGCCTAAAAAAAATCAGCTATGACGTGATTCGAACCCGGGTCTTATGGTTGGACAGAAAACGTTCTGATCGCACGCTGATACTATATGATGGACGCTGAAAAGGTTCATGGTTCAACTACCCAAAATTTAACCAAATATAAGATATTTTTAGTACCTCTTCTTGGGCGACTGCATGAACTTTTCGGCACCCTGTTCGTATATTGACACACAGACACACACAAATATATATGCACTTGTTTGTGTGCGTGTTTGTGCATCATTAAGCTTAAGTAATTTGGAACTATGGCTACCGAAAAAAAAATATTTATGCGTGTGGGGGTGGAGGCAGATAATATCAGCCTGTGGAGACGAGTCAAGCCTGAGGCACATATTGGAGTAACTTGCATTATTTACATTATTCGGACTGTTATTTTCATCTTCATTGCCATATTCACAACGTTTCGGCCGTTGTACGCTTTCTTTCTGTCATCTTTATTTTCACGCCCTTTCATCTTTCTTTCTTTCTTTCTAACATTTTTATTTTCATGCCTTTTCTTTCTTTCTTTCTTTCTTTCTTTCTTTTTTCTTTCTTTCTTACATCTTTATTTTTACACCCTTTCTTCCTTCTTTCTTTCTTTCATTCTAACATTTTTATTTTCATGCCCTTTCTTTCTTTTTTTCTTTCTTTCTTTCTTTCTTTCTAATATCTTTATTTTCACGCCCTTTCATCTTTCTTTCTAAGATTTTTATTTTCACGCCCTTTCTTCCTTCTTTCTTTCTTTCTAACATTTTTATTTTCACGCCGTTTCTTTCTTTCTTTCTTTCTTTCTCGTGGGTGGACATCATTTTACCTTGAAATCTTCCCGTTTCTTTTCTTTTCTTTTCTTTTTTTCTGTTTCTTTCTTTCCTTTTCATAACGTTTTCTTACGTTATACGCTTATTCTCCATTTCTTCATCTAAAATGTCTCATTATTTAGATTATTCGGATTGTTATACTCATCTTCGTTTCGCCCGTTGTACGCGACGGCCTTCTTCAGATGATTGGAATATCGGACCGAACCCTTTATTTCGTCCATCTAGGTAGATTGTTCTAGTTCCAAGTGCCATGCCTCTTCCCGATGTCTCATTTACTGCCCTTATTAACTCAAGTTTTTGGTTCACCACTGCTGTGACCTGGTATTGAACTCACAACTCTTTGGGTCTAGTCATGGATCTAACCTACGTCTTTATCGACTGGGTCATATGAATATGGCAATGAAGATGAGGATAACAGTCTGAATAATGTAAATAATCCAAGTAATCATGATACCTCATCCCAGAGATATAGACTGATATTTGGGAGTTACCTGCCAAACATGTCACCGGTTGATTTGTGAGTGAAAATGCGTAAGCAAAACTGTTCAGAAGGCGTTGGTGGTTGTGCTAGGACAAAAGACATGTCATCATGACCGAGGATTTAATGCACTGGCCTTGTTCAAGTCTTGACCCCGCCAAACTATACACTCACTCCCAAAAACTGTAACTAAGGTTCGCTCAGCATACCTAAGAGCTATCGGCTCGCAAATTGGAATCGAGGAGCCGAGTTCAAATTCCTGTCTACTCTGTCGCCCAATTGACCTTGGTAAACGTATAACCAGTCTTCTCCCTAAATATATGGTTGAGTAGACTTGGCTTTCTAGCTTTGGTAGGCAACCAGGCTAAAAGAAGAAAACATTAAATTGCAAATAGTGGAGAAGGTAAATCAATCCATTATCTTTCCCAAGAATGCTTGGCAATTTACAGATAATAAAGCAAAGGAAGGTGTGAAGAGTCATGAACAGCAACGTCTTGAAGGGTGGTGGCATTATAATAAGAAAAATTTGTTTGCATACGAAGTAAGAAGCAAAAGTGAAAACAAAAAAGAAAATACGGTCACACCTTGTCCGTCCATAAAGAATGCTTGGCAATTTACAGATGAAAAAGAAAAGGAAGGTGTGGAGACTCATGAACGCCAATGTCTTGCATGGACGTGGCATTATAAGAAGACAAAAGCAAAAGTGAAAACAAAAAAGAAAAAACGGTCAAACCTTGTCCGTCCATAAAAGCCGGATGATTAGAAGTCAAATTATGAGTTTCGAAAACCAATTCTATCCTGGACGAAGTTGTATGTCGACAAAGGAACTGAATCACTTCCAGTGCTCTCACATGATGAATACTCTCTTCGATTATGGCGGCTGTCAAAACAAAGAATTTACTTATTTGAATCATTTCAATAGCAAAGAAACTTTTTTCTTAGAGAACGAACAAGTCGAACATTTGGATTTCTCGGCCTCACGTAACAACGCCATGTCTTTTCAGAAGTTAGCTTCTACTCGATACTATAGTTTCTACTAGTGGGAATGTTTAAACTTCGTGTCCCCAAAAGAGAAACGGTGTGTCAAAAGGACGATTTTCCCTTGACACCGCTATTTTTTTAACTACCTTCACTCCTCAGCAATGTTTATTGTTTTAAAACCCGGTGACTAGAATTGTAATAAACCCTAAACATAAAATTGAATTTATACATTATTTGTTCTTTAAACGATGTTATTTTTATTTGTTTATTTATATTATTTACATTTTGATTAATATCGTCATCTTTTTTATTGTTGTTATCATCACAATGTTTGTTCCTGCCCGCCTTTTTGGAGGCGTCTCTCGATCCGGGTAACGTTCGAGGAACTTCAAGCTGAACACTTTATAAAATCTACAGAGATAGATTGTTCTTGTCCCGTTCTCCATGTCTATGGATATCTCATCTCCTTCAGTACTGATCACTTTGTTTGGCACCTTTGATTTTTAAGAACAGATTTTGATTTTTTTGCATTTTATTATCAAATCATAATTCTGCTTGTTCTTTCGTTCTTTATTTAACATTTACGTTACGCCCTGAGATAGCTTGTCTACCCCCCTGTCCACAAATTCTTGGTTTAGTAGCAGAGTAAAGCACTAACGTATTTTTTTAAACTTCCGGAAGAAAGACAGAAAGAAAGACGCAGTGTATATGTGAAAGAAAGAAAGAAAGAAAGAAAGAAAGAAAGAAAGAAAGATGCATATATGTGAAAGAAAGATAGAAAAATGCAGTATATATGTGAAAGCAAGAAAGAATCTTTATATATGTGAAAGAAAGAAAGAATTTCTATATATGTGAAAGAAAGAAACTGTTATATGTGAACGAAAGAAAAAAAGAAAGAAAGAAAGAAATGAAAGAAAAAATGAAAGGAAGGAATGAAAAAAAAGAAAGAATGGAAAAAGAAAAAGAAAGAAATAAATGAAAGAAAGAAACTGTTATATGTGAACGAAAGAAAAAAGAAAGAAAGAAAGAAAGAAAGAAAGATAGAGGTAGCGTTAATGCTTTTAGGTGTTTGATGTTGAAATGGAATAGCAATATGAAATATACCAAACTGAAACGGTTAGTTATATTAATAAATTTAAAAAAAACAGGAATCCAAAAACGTGGAATTTCTCCTGTTCCCACCCTCTACATAATTAATTTTAAACTTGCAGGTAGGCAAGGCCGAATTTACTGCTTATAAACTTTCCTATCGAACGCTCCTTTGTGGCCGAGAGGTTAGGCACGTCAGCGTAAATGACGGTTCCGTATAGGATACAGGTTCGAATCCTGTCAAAGGACGAATATTTTCTATGAAAATTTCTCGTACATTCAGGCCGGTAAATGTTATTTAATACTGTTTATTATAAACAGAGCATTTACTTAAATACTTGTATCTATAAAAAAAGAACGTTAGACATAAAAATGTCTTTAATAAATAAATTGTCGGACTTTGTCCATTTCTTAATATATATATATATATATATATATATTATGCCTTCAAATTCCTTGAGCAACATAGGGCCGCTAGATATTGTTGCGGTTTCTATAACAAGCCAGTTTTTAAGTGAGTAGGTTGTTAGCCTATTACACAACCCCCAGCCCGGTCTGTCCTGCTATTTACTCATAGCTGGATGTGGGGGAGAAAGAAGAGGATTCATACCTTTCCGAAATGTATTAGTACGTATGTAATGGATTCGACTGGAATTCGAACTTAGCTCTCCGATTCCTCAATCTGAGACACTATCCATTACTCCACCTTGCCTCCTCTCATCATTTATTACCGACTGAAAATTAATTCATAAAAGACATTCACTTACCGACATTAATTTTTCTGGAGGCCTGATTGAAATACCCAGTTTGCACCATTAGCAAAATGGTCAATATTACTGACTGTAAGAGAAACATCTTTAACTGAAAGATTAAAAAAAAAAAAGAATATGAAAGAATCAAGGAAATATTAGTTGCGAAGGAAACAAAATAAAACAATTATCTACACTATTTACATTCGGAACGGGGAAGTCTTCAGCCCCAGTGGAATGAAGTGAAAATACTAAGCAAGGAAGAAGACAAGAGTTAGATTTCTGAAAGAATCAGCACATGTGGTAGTCTATGAGGATCTTCTTAGTAGGCCTAGCGTAGAAATAAATACAATATGGGAACAGATAAAAAAAGATAAATGACAGCAAATCTTCAACAGTAGCAGCAGCAGCAAAAATCAAAATACAGAATGTCCCTAAAGTCTGAACACATAGGAAATCTCATGAACTATATGTTATTTATCTCTACAGATTAAATATGGTTTTGTCAAAAGAAGAAAGAATTGACTTCTTTTTCTGGGGTATGCTAAAGGAGAAGGTGTAATCAATGAAAATTACAGATGCAACACACTTGATTGAATGCATAAAAAAGTAAATGTCTTAAAATTGACGTCAATGTGGATTTATTGCATCGAGTTCACGTGAATCTTGCAAGGTGCAACCTTTGCGTCACGAATGATGGAAATCATATTGAATATGTTATTTGGTAAGATTCCAATTCTATAAATTTTTGAAAATTTCATATCTTGAAAATATGCATTTTTGCCTCGGGTGTCCAAACTTTAGTGACACCTGTACAATAAACAACAGCAACAGCATTAATCAGCAGGTAGGTTAGGTTTAAAGCTCCAAGTTCACTACAGAAATTTGCGACAGTGGATTAAAGTGTTACTTAATTTGATGACATAGTATTTATGATCTAATTCCTGAGTCGAGTAGTGTATACTTGGACTCAATGAAAACGAGCGGGCAATGACTGAACTAGAAATATATAAGAACTTGACAATATTCCTGTGGGTTACCCCAGATCAATATACACCTGAAGACACAATGGCCAAAACGTTGTGATAACAACTACAAAGATGGCGACAATAGTCTGAATATGATTACTATAAATAATGATAACTCATCACCTCAAAAATTCAGACAGAAAATAAAACCAGTGTATGTTTTCCGAATTCCACCCCATTCTGTCACAAGTGACCTTACAGCCCACAGATCCATTAAGGAAAAGTCATTTCTGGAAAGAAACGTTGCGGTGACAAACATAAATCAAACGATAAGAAATCTGTTTTGCCTGTTTCATCGAGGGGTGATATGATCTTAAATCAGGTTTTCACAACCTGGGTGATATCGCTCACCCGAGGGCGATTTCAAGTGTTGAGTGGGCGATGAGCGACTGTACAGAAAATGGTGGACAATTGAAAATTTTTGATTTTGAGTATTAAAAAGATATTTCAAAATGAGCTACCCGAAAAAAATATTCACGGGTTATATTCAAAGAATTTGTATAAAAAAATAAAACCCCCAGAAATGTTCTTAAATACGATAGTAGCAGTAGCCGTCGTTCAAGGCAGCGTTATTTCTTACCTCCATTTGGTATATTTTACTACATCATAAAGTCAGTTTACGAATCAATAAAAAACTTTTACCAGATAATTTTGATACATCATAAAGTCAGTTTACGAATCAGTAACAAACTTTTACCAGATAATTTTGATACATCATAAAGTCAGTTTACGAATCAGTAACAAACTTTTACCAGATAATTTTGATACATCATAAAGTCAGTTTACGAATCAGTAATAAACATTTACCAAATAATTTTGATACATCATAAAGTCAGTTTACGAATCAGTAACAAACTTTTACCAGATAATTTTGATACATCATAAAGTCAGTTTACGAATCAGTAACAAACTTTTACCAGATAATTTTGATACATCATAAAGTCAGTTTACGAATCAGTAATAAACATTTACCAAATAATTTTGATACATCATAAAGTCAGTTTACGAATCAGTAACAAACTTTTACCAAATAATTTTGATACATCATAAAGTCAAGTTTACGAATCAGTAACAAACTTTTACCAAATAATTTTGATATGCTTTTGAATATTTCCTTTATGAGATGAGAAATTTTTCCATGTGAAAGTGGGTGATGATGCAAAAATATTTGTAGACCACTGAACTAATGAACTTAAAAGCAGCGCTGAAATAGAAAATTAACATAAAACAGAGTTTCTCAACCTGGGCGATATCGGCAACCAGTGGTCGAATTCAATTGTTGGGTGGGCGATGAGCAACTGAACAGAAAAATTGTAGGTGATTGGAAATGTTGGTGGTCGATATGCGATTTTGAGTATTCAAAAAGTCTTTCAACATAAGTTACCCGAAAGATGTGGCAGTGATAGTCCATGGCTCTTGTAAATTGACATAGCAGGGAACTCGTACTTTTTGGAGTGATACAAGGAACCGATATTTTATTCAACATCTTTTGCGATGAATCGTATATGCAAGTCCCGCTTCTTTGATCAGGACTAGAGATTTATCACTTGTTTCCTGTTTAGGATTGTGCTTTCTTCTTCTTCTTTTTTAACTCTTTTCCTTCTCTTTCACTTTCAGGAACCCAAAGCAACTTAGTGGCGTTGTCGCCTTGCTTGAGGTGAATTGAATAAAAAAAAATGGTCTGGTGTGTTCTTGTGTCCCAATAGTTGTTCCAGGTAAGGTGCCTCATACAAAGTTCATCATGATTGGAGAAAACTTTGCTCTGTGATAAAACGCTACGATCTTGGTTTTGGAGATAACGAATGTTCCCACATTCAGCTGTGTGAGATCAGCTGCCAGACTCTGTTCTTCGAGATTTTGCGTGGTGCTCCCATAAGCTGTGGCATCGTCTACGTATATATTTACAAATGTTCTTAGGCAGGCCTTTAATATATAGCAGAAAAAGTAAATATATTCCTTTTATGAGAAGCTCAAAGAAAAAATGGAATCAAGTATATTTAAAAGAATATCTGATTTAGCGACCTCGATTTTAACATCTAACTGCGACTTTTATTTTGTGATGCCATACCTGGAAAATATTCGAGATCTGATCAAAAAGTTTCGGACTGTTGCTATGGTAACGAAACTGCTTAGCACAGATTGACTGTGAACTCTGTCGCGCATGCGCACAAAGTTATAACGTTCTGGCTTACTTCCGTTGTTTATGCCTGTGCTCGGAAGTAAAGTGTGTAAAGTGTGGTCGCCTCACCCCACCACAAAGGTTCCATCAGGGACCATGGCTTGTGCAGTTGTTTTTGGCTAAGCGTAACATTCCAACCATATTCCCCAGATCACGACTATTTCCTTTTTAAAAATCCAATCCCACTCGAAAGGAACAAGACGTCGAGAAAGTTCAAGAGAATTCTTCCATCAATGAAAACAACGCTGGATAAATTGTGTGACTTCAGAAGTGGGCTACTTCGAAGGAGATTAAATTCCGAATTGATATGCTTTGTAGTTTTCTTTTTATAGCACCAGTCCCAATACTTTTTTGATTAGACCTCGTATTTGGCTACCTCATTCACAATTTGTAGAAAATCAATCTAATTGATCGATAGTTGTTCGTTGTGTAGCGTAAAAAGAAACGTTCCCTAATGTCTTCATTGTTGTCCATTAGATCAATCAGTTAATCAGCAACAAAAAGTAATTGTTCAATTTTTCAAGAATGTCTCTTAATAGATTTTTTTTATCAACTGCATGTCATAAAAAAAGAACAGGTGCATGACATTTTTGAGAAAGAGTCGACGCTTGGAAACGAAAACAGATGTTTAAGTGGAAAAAGACAAAAGTTCTGTGAAGCCTTTTGTAAGGACGTGGTTTTCCCAAGGTTCTTTAGTTTTCCCAACGGAAGACCGAGTAGAACATTTTGCTGAGACTAGAAACTGAATTAATCAATTCGTGTTTACCATCAGCATTAAATTTCGACTTAAGACGAGCGCATAACATTTAAAACGATAATAGATTCACATTTAATCTATCGCTGACTCAGAGACAAAGGCAGGAACAAACATTTGATACACGCTCGCGTGTTTACCAAAACCAAGCAAGTGCATATATCATGTTATAACTCTGCTTATTTTTTCTCCGTTAATTAGTGGATTAGTTGATCTATATGTTATACGCTACCATTGCCGCAGATAAATAATGAGCCATTCCGTTTTGAATGTGACGAAAGATGGAAGAAAAATATATCAGAGACGATGTTTGGTTTGAGTGACAAAAAGAAAGCAGACATAATTTGAAAGAAAGAAAGAAAGAAAGAAAGAAAGAAAGAAAGAAATGGAAGAAAGAAAGAAAAGAAAGAAAGAAAGAAAGAAATGGAAAAATGAAAGAAATGGAAGAAAGAAAGAAATGGAAGAAGGAAAGAAATGGAAGAAAGAATGAATGAAAAGATAGAGGTGGAGATAACGTATTCATGTATTTAATGTTTGCTCCAGTAAAATGAAAAACTTTGTTAAATTTTAATCTTTTCAATATGGGAAAAGGAAAAAGGGAAAAAGAAAAAAAAGTGGGGAAGTAAAGAGATAAGAGATGTACGTAGGGTTTTGGGAGGAAGAAGAGGGGTGGTATAGCTTTAGCAATTTAGATAAAAACAGATTTTAACGTTTGATAGTAATTTAAATGTTTAAAAACTTCACAAAGAAATTAAATTTATATATATATATATATATATATATATATATATATATATATATATATATATATATATATAATTAATAACGAAATATGATCCAAGTTCTTCTTATAATATGTAGATTTAATAGGTCGGTTAAAGAAATTTGAGGTAAAAAAAGGCATCAAAATGATAATATTGACAATAAGATTGATTTTATTATATATTAGCTTTTTGATTAAATTGAAGCACGAAGAGAAATATTTTAAAGAGGTAATTTTCGAACACGCCTGTATCCTTTTTCAATGAAACGGGGAATAAGCAAAGTGGAACTTACTCGTCCGAGGAATGTTGTTGTTGGTTAGAGGGCTCCCTATGGAAAATATATACTTGGAGTAAACCCAAATCCCTGTTTAAATTCCTGTTTATATTTGTAACGAATGTAAAAAAAAAAAACCTATTATGTAAATTTTTGTAACTTTGTATAATATTTATGCATTAAACCCTAATCTTTATTCGGTAAAAATTCCATTGCTAATCATGCATTACTTTTTAAGTAATACACATATTTATGTCTCTGTTGTTTCCGTCCCTTATATTATGACCGCTACTGCATGTAAAAAAAAATCCGTTGGTAAGTAATGCAAGTAGATCCTATTAATATAAAATATTAAAACTGATCCACAGAGAGATCAATATAATTTTTATTATATACCATATTTCAACTCACATAGTATCAGCGGAACCTCACACTCCTCTCTCTCATATATATTTTTATATGTGAATTTTTTTCTATTATGACATCTTCCCTATATGTAATTTTTTTCTATATGTAAAATTGTTTCCGACATATGGAATTTCCTTCTATATCTAAATATTTCTCTCCTTGTTACATGTTTTCTATATGTGGCATTTTCTTCTATATTTAATTGTTTTTCCTTCGTTAACTCTACTATTTTTCACTTACATTACTAGGCCTATGAGATTTTAATTCCTTTATATTCCTTTATCTTCATTTGGTTTCCTGTTAACTGCTTTAACTTGTTAATTATTGTTGAAACTTGACTAATGCATGGAATAATAATGCAACACAAAAGGTACTTAGAACAAAATGTATTGAAACAAGAAAGTGTACACAATATTTACATATAGTCTTTTGTATATTCGTGGTAAGACCGTTCCTGGAGAATGTGTTGACTGAGTCGCAGTCGGGCAGAGTCTCTGGTTGAATCTCTTGATTCCTCCCTCTCTTCCCGGTACCACCCATATTTATATGGACGGTTCTCCACTATGCAAATTAGGTGGATCCTACCACAACAATTATAATACTAATTTTTTTTTAATATTGAATTTAATTTTTATCCTTTACAGAATTTTTAAGTAATTATTATAAGTTTAATATAATATAAATTATAAATTTAATATTTGAAATATTATTAATATTATATTGGTATAATGGGATTGGTTATATTTAAATGAAATTAATATATTAATAATTTACTTAATTTTTTTACTAAAACTTTTACTATATAGTTAAAGATGCAGTATTGAATGGATTAATATTAACATCTTTTTATAAAATTATTAAATTTAAATTCTTACTCCCATTCAGTAATCTTTTAAACTCCTCTCTGGAATTTTTTTTATACCCTTTTTGTTTTTCATTCTTCCTCCTTGGACAGATGTTGATAGGTTACATTTAGGTAAGCGTCCATTTTCAACCGTCGCGTTTATCTGTACCAATTCCACCATAAGCACGTTAGGATCCTTACTGCTCTATAAAACTCCCTCTTCTATTATAGGCCAATTCTTACTTCCTTAACTTTTATCCTTTGTTTTTTTCTTTTTAACTTCTTTCCTTCCTTTGCCTTTCAAATTTCCTGTGAAGAAACGTGGGAATTCATTCATTTTAGTAAATATATTTGCATTGATATGTCCAGGGGAAAAATTCTGTCCCATGGGCGAAATGGTCATCTGTATGAGGCAAATTGTGTGAATCTCGTTAACTGTAATTCACACACACACAAACACACACACACACACACATATATATATATAATTTTTTAGTGAATACCATAATTGAATATACGTTCCATTTATTTATTAAACTATATATTTAATTATTTTTCATCTACCGGCTGGAATGTTCGAGAAATCTTATTAAAGAAAGAAATATAATTTTATTGACGAAAAACATATAATCGCAAGTAAGATTCGAACCTGTGTCCACCTTTACAGGAGAAACCGTCGTTAGATTCGAAGTGCGTCGATGACGACCCAAAACTGCATAGTGGCTTATGAACAATTATCATGCTTGTTATAAAACTCAATTTGTGTTGTACGTTTATATATTGGATCGGATTTCCTACATTTTTCAACCGATTTCAACAAAACTTCACAGGACTACGTAAAATTACTTTGCAGTGGTTCTGACAGCGACAAAAATGGGAAAAACACAATTGTTTTTGCACGAAATCAATTTGAAAACACGATTAAGAGGCATCGCGAAAATGAAAGGGGGACAACTCATATCGAGTTATACTTATTATAAAACCCAGGTTGTTTGTGTGTATGTGTGTGTGTGTTCGTTTATATATGGGTTCGGATTTCCTACATTTTTCAATCGATTTCAACAAAACTTCACTTTTTTTTGGAAGGTAGTGTTTCTTATTGTCTTGCACACTTTTTCTTTATTTTTACATTCAGAATGCTTTAAAAATTTCATTTACGAGACAATTGTTTATAATAAAATTCTATTCAATCGGTAGACTCATAACGATTGAAAACAATGTTTTTGTTTGAAGTAGGGTTTGACCAATTCGTAAAAAAACCCAAAAAACAAAACAAAACAAAACAAAAACTAATTAAGACATGCGTGTCCGTCAACCTTAAACAATAATGAAGTTTTGTTGAAATCGGTTGAAAAATGTAGGAAATCCGATCCCATATATAAACGAACACACACACACACAATATAAGTGTAAGTATAACTCGATATGAGTTGTCCCCCTTTCATTCTGGTGACAGAATCGTGTTTTATCGTGTTTTCAAATTGATTTCGTGCAAAATGTAGGAAATCCGATCCAATATATAAACGTACACACACACACACACACACACACACACACACACACACACACACAATCTGCGGTTTATAATAAGTAAGATTTATTTACAAGAATAATTTTACATTTACAAGATTATTAAGATATGAGAATCGGTTACAATCTAATATTTATTATTTAAGATATTATAAAGTAATAACTATGAAAACAATTTTCGTTTATTTATAAAGTTATAAAAATATCCGTGGACTATAGAAGACAAATTTAAATAAACTGTTAAGGATGAGTAACTGTAATGATAAATTCTGAAATAATGATTTTTGGGGTTATTTCTTTCATTTGCTCTTTTGCTACAAATTCACTAAAATAGGTTGAGATCATTCGAATTTATACTACTCGAAAAAGGACGATGTCAAGAGAAAATCCGTCCTTTTTTTCGATTACGTTTGTTAAACTTTAACAAAATATTTACATTTTTATAATTACCTGGAGAACTTAAATCAGATTAAATTAATTTGAAACTCCAACCGTTGATGTAAAAAACTTGCTTAGAACCTGAAGATGGAAATATAGAAAAATGAAAATTCTGAAATTATTTTCTAACGTTTTAACACCTATCATATTGCTATTCTCCCTGTTCCTTAGTTAGTTAGCACGTACGTTACGTCCTGCCATTACCTCAGATAAATAAAGGACCATTCCTGTTTGATTACGAGGATAGACAGAAGATATATATCAAAGATGCTGTTTGGGTTTAGGGAAAGTAAAGGAAAAGAAAGAAAGCGAAGGTAAAGGAGGCGATAACAGTCGTGTTTAACGTTTGCTTCAGTGAAATGGAAAACATTGTCAGTTTTAAATATTTTCATTTGTATCCTCTTACTTCTTTAAATTATAACCTGCATTCGCATTTATGGCTGTTACTTCCAACCCCTCGGTGTATGGATCAGTTATAACAATTTTAGTAGACGCTATAATGAAACTTAATATAGAATTGTGATGTTTGTTGCGAATTGAAGCTTTGATGTCTGAGATAACATTTACAGCTAGATTCGCCAAAAGTTTGTTAGATTTAAAGGCTAAACATTTTGTTGTCTTCTCGATAACTGAAAATTTTTATTAATTTTACTCAACACATTCAGCGTTACTTAAGATCAACAATCAGCGTTGACCGTCGTTTTCATTAGACTTTTGGAGATACTTATAACACCAGTTCCCGTATGATCAACCAAGTTAATCAACGTCGAGTCTTGATGAGTAACCCTTTTGGTGTATCTATCTATATTTATGAGGTGAGGTATTTACTATTTACATTATTCGGAATATTGCCCTCATCTTTGTTGCCAAATTTATCACAACGTTTCGGCTGAAGTACGCTCCAGCCTTCTTCAGGTGGTTGGAATGTCGAACTGAACCCTTTATTTCACTCACTGGGGTAGACTGTTCTAGTTCCACGTGCCGTGTGTAATGGATGTCAGTTATCAGTTATCTCCTGTTAATTCCCCTTTCCAAGTTTCTGAGATGAGGTATTATGTACATTATTTATATTATTCGGACTATTGTCCTCATCTTTGCTGCCATATTTATCACAAAGTTTCGGCTGATGTACGCTCCGGTCTTCTTCAGGTGGTTGGAATGTCGAACCGAACACTTTATTTCGCTCACTGGGGTAGACTGTTCTACTTCCACGTGCCATGCTTAATGGATATCAGTTATCTCATGTTAATTCCCCTCTCCAAGTT